AAAAACAGGTCAATCATATTTTTTTATGTACGATGAATCTGTAGGAAAAAAAGGTCAGAATGAAGTGATTAGTTTCTTAAATTATTACTTGGAAAATCTACTACACCAAGGTATTCAAACTTTATATCTATTTGCAGATAATTGTAGTTCCCAAAATAAAAACACTGCTTTAATTTATTATTTATATACTATCATTCAATCTGAAGCATTTGGCTTAAAACAAATTATTCAACGATATCCGGAGCCTGGCCACAGCTTCTTACCCTGTGACCGCTGTTTTGGTTTAATTGAACAACAAAAAAGAAAAATTGAACGAGTATATATTCCAAGCACATACCAAGAAATGGTGAAAAACACCTGTGTCAGACGGTTTAATGTTATTAACGTAACTCAACGATTTATTTACAACTTTTCAGAGTATTTGAAACCTTATTTTAAAAAATGCATCACCAACTCGAGTAAAGCTAAGTTCACTATTATGGCATATCGACAAATAGAATATAAAAAAGAAGGATTATTCTGTACCACAATCCCACACTCTACAAGCACTGACCATTTTATACTTCATAAATCTGTAGTCAATAACTTTAAATATCCGATGGAGAATCTTCCTACATTATACTCTAAACCCCTACAAATTAAAAGGGCAAAACTGTTAGATGTACAAGACTTGGCAGCCAAATATGTACCACCAGAATACCTATGGTTTTACAATCAATTTGAAGAAAATTATGTTGAAAATAATGATGTTCCATGTCTGTCCGATTATGAAGATTAATAACTTATAGTTTATAACTTAATTATGTTGTTTTTTAACTCTGTTTGGACTGAAATAATTTTATTTTATTAGTTGATTTATTTTATTACATAAGTAAAGTAACTTATAATGTGATTATTTTATTATTTTGTTTCAAAACACTGAAATTATTTTATTTTATTGTTTGATTTGTTTTATTATATAGGTACCTAAGTGAAGTTTTGTACTATTAGAATAACTATAATACTGATAACATTGCATTTTATATTAATTAACAGTTTTTTAGGAAAGTTTTACTCATTTTTTTTTTTACAGTGTTCTATTTTCTGTGCATAAGTGGCATTTAGAGGTGCACAAACAGTCAGTAGAAAAATATTGAGAATGTAAACTGTTCAATTTGTTTAAAAAGTTAATTTTTGCTCCCCCCCCTAAGATTAATAAATTAGAGCCGATTATACTATGAACAAAAAAGTATGCAATTTACAGAAAAATTTTTTAAAAAAAAATGTTTTTATGGTTATCTTATTCAACTTTGTTACCCAGTGCCTAAGTTATGGCTGAAGTTCCATTGTGATACATATTTACAACTTTTAAAGTTATAGTGAGCCCTTAATATTTTAAACTTTTCTGTTAATCACTTAAACTGTATGGGTATATTATTTAATTTGACTCCGTTTGGTGTAACAACCAGATAAGTCCATGCCCACTTCAACTTAAGAAAATATTATAAAAAAAACTAATCAAAGCTAAAACTTAAAAATAATATATTGATATAGACCAACACTTTAACTTTACAATTTTTTTGAAATGTTTTTAATATCTCTGTTTTAAATGTAATAAAACTTGTTATAAGCCTCTCCTGTAAAATTTAAAAAATGTGACTTGTCTGGTTGTTGCACTGAACCCTTCAATTGAAAATATTGTGTTATAGTTATAATGGTTATTTTTATTGTACTATTTGTGAAATTTAAGTACTTAGTAGAATATACAAAGTATAAATATATGTTATTGTCTATGTGTTTAATATTTTTTTCAATAATATTTTAACATATTTGAAATATTTCATTTATTATTAATTATTATAGTATCAAAAAATATCTATAGTTGAAGACACAACTTAAATATAAAAAAGCATATTGGGACGTAAATTATCTAAAAGATATCACCTTTTCCAGACCTCTTTTTATTCGAACGCAATTTATCTATTGACTATAGTTTCGTAACTTTCTGTTACGAAATATCTTATTATGCAGTGTTTATAATCCCTAATACTATAAAGAAACAAGACAGCTGTAAGATTAAATTATAATGTACTATTAATACTATTACTTATTAATTATTAATATCATCTAAAATCAAATTTAAGCTATATCTTCCATTATCATAAATAGATACCTAACCTTAATATAGTGGATATTTTGGGACTTATGCGAAATGTATACAAAGGGAGTTCTCCATTCATGTCACTTTGTCGTTTATTCTGTAAACAGTTATTAATATTATTTTATAAAATTTATGTGGAAATATATTTTAAATTAGTAAGTAATTAAAGTAGGACAAATCGATGAAGTAAGATGTGCTGAGATAGCAACATATTAACCATTTAAGAGCAACGCACGGACAGGCTTGAGGAGATACGTCGTTGTCGCAAAAACAGCAAAGACGAAGGTTTTAATAGTAAATATGTGAATGCTATTATCGTGACGTAAATATTAAATTATATTGTATATTTTTTGAGTTTGTTTATTTTATAATAAAAGTGTTTTCGATAAAAATATTTTATTTTAAACTATTCTTAACTGTTTGACGTCCTCATCTTAAAAATTTCTTATAATGCCCAAATAAACATATCATATTTTGTTCATACATTAAGGAAAGTAGGTACGTTAAATAATTAATGTATACCGTTGTACCTCATTATACAGTGACAGACACTGTTGAATTAGTTTTCAGATATGGTCATTGCTTTAGAGTGTACGAAGGCAAAACGTTTCAGGTGTTCGTACGTATTTAATCGTGTGAGTGATTATGACAAAGTGACACTGGTCGTGAGACTTAAACTTACGATCCCGAGATTGAGAAAGAATCAGGCTAGTGGGTACCATATTACCTAACCTATAGTACACGTCGAGTGGATTGCTGTAATGGATATGCTAAAATTGAATTCAATGATAATATATCATCATTGTATACGAAAAACGATTTTGAGTGGAGAATATCTGTCAGCCTACATTATTAAGTATTTTTGTAGGTATTGATTTTATTATTTTTTTAAATATACATTTATTATATTATAAATACCTATTTTAAACTTAGAATATAATATATTCACACCATGTTATATTATTCTTATTAACTTTTGAACCAATTTTATTTTACTACAAAATAGTGTGAATAGATATTATTTATAAATTAATCTATATATTTTGAAAACGTCGTTGGTATAGTAAGATTCATAATACGTAAAAGTTTTAAGTTCCCGCGAATGATGTTTTTGAATCCTAACAAAATATTGATTATCGTAATTTATAATTATTTAAATATTTAATTTATTTTAAATTTGGAACTCAAATACTAATAAAATAAAATTATGCTTGCTTATTTTAAATATTTTTATATATTCATAAGAAAAATTAAGAGGATCTTGTATTAAATTTTTAATTTAGCAAAAATATTTTAATTAATAAAAAATAAAATTTTAAACTTGTCTATAAATAGCTTAAAATTTTTCAAAGTATTTTGAAAATTCTACAATAAAACTTGGCGAAAATTTCAAGTTTTTACTAGTTTCTAGGTTTTTACAATTATTTATTTATTTATTTTTTTTTTTTTTTGATTATAAAAAAAATAAAGAAATCAATTTTATAAAAAACCAGTTTAGCATAAAAAATGCTCGATCTATCTATTTTTTTCCAATTATTACTGGAAAGTTTTTATTGTTGATCCAATAACTAGATTTAAATTTTCTTTAATTCAAAAGTTAAAAGTTAAGCATTTTTATTACCTCAAAATTAATGTCAGATACACAAAAAGAACATACATCGTTGAAAAGTAAATATATTCTTCATTCCATTCAGAATTTAAAATGGGGTTGAGTTGCATGTTTGGTTGTATCACATTATCAACCAGTATACTATTACTATACATAATACATATATGTATACAATTTTAAACAAAAATAAAAATATAAATATAATACTCTTCCTACTAAGCTATATAATATATATTACGTTCAAAATGACTAATAATAATTTCTGAAATAAAGAATTATTTTCAAAACCGTATAATGTGTATACAACACCATCTATTAATATTTTGTTAACTGTTGGGAATACGATGAATAATGCAGATTTTGTTGTATTGAATAATTTATTCGAAAACCTTGTATTATATCCCTACTATAAGAACCATGTTGTTTTATTTATTTCTTTTCTTAGTTATGGAACAGTATGTTGACTTTATTTATTTTTATATTTTATAGTGTATCTTTATTATTTATGCTTACTCGTTTATCTGTTATGCTAATTAGACATTGGACGTTGTTTAGTTGTTTAACAAATAAATAATAACAATAAAATACTCGTACGCATCGTTTGCCATCGCGGTATAGTGCGCCAATAGTACATAATATTTACATCGAAGATAATCTACACGAAGAAAAGAAATCTTTGATCGTTTCAAATGTTTACTTGTTAAACGTGTATATTTTAGAGATATTCCAGACAGATTTGTTGGTCGTCACGAAAATCACCGTATTCTATTACCGTTTACATTTAATATTCGTATGATCATACATTATAATAATTAGTACAAACACGACGATACGTACAATTAGATGTAAAAATTAACGAAAACAATATACGACTTTATAATTATATATATTAATATACGTTAATAAGGTGTCCATGACAATTATATTATTTAAAAAAAAAAATATAATAAACTGTTGATTATCAAATTGGACGTCGGACGACCGTAAAACCATAACAACGCGCGATGAACCTATTACCTACCTGTGTAGAGCTGTCCGCACGGTTATAAGAAACGGCTAGCAGCAGCGGACCGGCGTTTGCTTAAATTTTCGGCGGGTAGGGTATGGCGGCGCGAACGTGCCCAATCCCGACGAATGGGAGCGTGACAGCCGCGGTGTACTGTTGCAGTGGCCATCGTAATTAACGATGATGAGTAAATAAGTGCAATGTTTTTGCGTTTTCTTCTATTCGCGTCGAACCCGACTCGCGCACGGGCGTACTGCAACATAGTTAAAAGATCGTGTAATACATAATACAACGAATACCCGTGTAATATTCCGTATTGTAAATATAAACCCTTTACATAATACAATATTGCACAGCTTTGGACGCGACGGACGAAAGTGCACCCGATCATTGAGGGGCGGTCTCCTTCGCGGTAGTCCGGACCATGATGGAAATCCGCGTATTATACGTCGCCGTAGTGTTTACCTGTTGCTGTAGCTGGCTATCCAGGTAGGTGCCTAACCTATAAATAATATATACACCATGTCATAATATTTATTCTGTATATATTGTGTAAACACAAACACTTCGTAAGTACCCTTAAATGTTATTTGTCACGTTCGCTTATAGCGAAATCAATATTTTCGCTTATACTGACAAGAATTTCATAACACGTGAGCATTGGGATAAGCATACTGGCAGTGAAGCTAAACATATATGCGATCATCTCAAGATATCCTCCAAATTGATGCGGAATGTGTATATAAAACGTTAAGTGTTAAATAATCTCTATGTTTAATAAATTAATATTTCAATCGTCATTTTTTTTTTAAAGTTCGAATAAAAAAAAAAAAAAAACTAAAATAAATATTTTCACTTTGTAGTTTTTTAAAACCAGATTAGATTAAAAAAATTATGATATAGCCCATACACCTGAACCTTTTTTTTTATATAGTACAAACATTTAATTAATACTTACAAGGATTCTTTAAATCATCAGAAGATCTAACATCTAAATTAAACACGATATTCTGTGTTTATTATATTTAATAATTAGAAAAAATATACAAACAATATATAAACTGGAATTGACCAGATAACATATCACATTGATAAAGATTATAATAAAATCAAAAAAAGATTCTGATAAAACAAGTAAAGAAATTATATAATTGGACAAATCGTTATGTAAAGGCTATTGGTTAATCTGCAGAAAATCAAGGTATCATGCTCTTGCAAATAAAACCCTAGTTTTTTGCTAAATAGGAAAATTTGTTACATGAAAAAATATTATTGCACTATAGTAATACTTAAAATTTACAATATCTAATACATTTTATACTTTTAAAGTAATTTTTTTTTTTTGTATTTTCAATTTATTTATTCTATAGTTTTATAAAAATTGTATAGATAATAAAAATAATAAATCATAAATGTATTATTTATTTTAAGTCTGTTGTCGATTCGCCCCCGCTATCACGGCGTTTAAAACGTATTACTATGCCAAAGATCTCAGTTGCACTACATTTTAATTTTTTATATCTATTTTTACTGAATTTTGCAATATTAAAAAAAAAAAAAAAAACAACAATAATTTATTGTTTACAATTAATAGATACATAGTTGAGAATTATTATTTCATAATTACATATATATATAAATAAATAATAAAACAAATTTTATTCATTTTTACGATATTTTTTGTAAGCACACGTTGAATATTACTATTAAATATTATGAGAGACATCAGATAACTCATAAAAATTAATGTTTAAAGAAGTGGGTACCGCTCCGATGTACATCAGGTGTCGAGTGGGTCATTATTATAGGAAGGTATGTTAAATTTAAATTTAATGATATACCATTATATACGAAAAACAAGTCTGAATGGACACAGTCTATAAGCCTTTATTACCAAATGATTTGTTCATTTGATATAGGCATAGCTATTAACATAATTTATTTTACTTTTAATATTTTAATATAATAGTGGAATGACATAATTTTTTTCAAAAATATTGCATATTTTATTAAATTATTAATATTTAATTATCATAGTAATGTATTATAGCTATACAATATTAAATTAATTTATACAACTTAAAATTTAATTACATCTTTTAGTGAAACCGTAAAATATTAAAAATAGATTTATAGAATAAATAGATAATAATATCTTAAAAATAAATCAAAAATACCATAATATATACTAAAATTCATAATAATTCTAATTCTTCCACCATTCCTCCAATCATACGTATATTATATTATGCTTAATTATTAGCTCACCAAATTATGAGCATTTTTTTTGGATTTAAATTTTTGAAAAATCTGAGTTTTTTGTTTTGCTTTATAATTTTTCAAATTATCCCTCCATGTTAAAAAATAAAAAATACCGTTAAATGTTCTTTGGAAAACTTAAAATCTTCGCACTCATCACTTTTCACTGATACTGTTTGGCTAGGTAATTTGCAAAAAAAATAATCTTGTCTCATTCAATTTTTAGCTTCATATCTTTTAATGATTAATTTTAATTTCACCTTCCATTCATCAATATTGTTTACATCTACAATATTTAACATACCGCAAATTTAATACCTAACAATATTATGTTGATTTTTTAAAACTTTCAAACCAGCCATTGAATTTTTTAAATTCAGTGATTGACATTTGTTCAGCAATATGGCATGCTTTAGACTGTATAATCGATCCAGAAATTGGTATCAATTTTGCTCTAGCACAAACAAACCACTCCCAAGTAAAATTATCAATTTCTTTGTTTGTGTTGGATTTTAATTTTCTTTTCATTCGCCCATTTCTTAAAATGAAAATTGTAAATGTATCAAGAATTTTTAATATTAAATTAATATTTATAATTAAGTATATTATCAATTTTCTATTGTATTTTTTTATTTCATAATTTTGCTTAAATAATATATTAAACTCTTGACTTTTTTCATTATTGAAAAGTTCACAAATTTGTTTTACTGTTAATTTATCTTTTTCGCTTGTCTCAATTAGCTTAATTTTTTTACACGCAATTCGCGACATAACATAATTACAACATTTATCGATAAAATAAACTTATTGTAACAACGTAATCTGTATAATTCATATGAATTTCTTACTACAAATAAATTAGCAGTTGCTTACAATTTTGATGAATTTAGTCAAAGTTCCAACTAAAAATACATATAAAAAGAAAAAAAATATTCTTACGCATTTTTAATATTTTAAAAATATATAAGTACAAATGTACAATTTAGAGGGGATATATTTCCAAAAGGTTTGACACATCAAAAAATTTTTAATTAATAATAATGGGAAAAAAACTAAAAAAAATATATGAAAATTTGTCATTAGGTATATAAACAATTCAAACAGAGTTAAAATATTTAAAAATGGAATTGTAAAATGATATTAACATTTAAAGTATCTACTGTTTATTTTTAAAAATACAACAGATTATCAAAAATTGTTTTTATGAGAAATAGTTATTTTATTGGTAAATATCGAATATCGTAGACATTTTACTTAAAATAATCATACAAAATTAATTTGGCTTTCTGATAGATTTTTTTTATGTATAGAGAAATTTATAAAGTACCTTGTATTTAGTTTTCAATTCTTAGGTATCAAAATCAACATTTTTTTAAATTTCCAACAACAAAATAATTTTTACATTTTTTGAGATTACGATGAATTCTTTTAAAATCAAAACTTTAAAGGCTTATAAAATAAACATTGTAATAAAAGATTTTGATATTTTTTAGTTGAAAAATTAAAAATTAATGAAGAAGTTTGTATTATATTTTTAAGCATTTTCACTTTATAAAATATAGTTTTGAAGTTTTAGAAGAAAACTAAAAAATATTGAATATATCTTATGCATATTTATAGCTCAAAAATAGTTGAAATATTTTTAAAACGTTATTATAATAAAAAAAGAATACTATAAATATTTGGTGAAAATTATATTTTATTCTTTTTCGAGTTACACTATAAAAACATATTCGATTTTGTTGACAATTGGATTTGTGTAAAACTCCCTATTTTTTGATAAACATTTTTTTGCTTTTTACCCTCTAAAATATCAACTAAATTCAATTTTCTACCAGAAACCACCCTTGTTTTTGAAAATCGAACTATTTTTACTTCCTCGAAAATAATTAAAAAAAAAAAAAATAAATAAATAAATAATAACAAACATCATTATAAAGTCAATACATTTATCGATTCTCTCAGAATCTAAAATAATTTGTAATTAGTAAATAACGTTTATAAGATAAATGGGTAAGTATTTTAAATTAAATGTATAATATTATAACAACAATTCAATTATACTTACTAACACAATTATAAAATAATAAAATAAAGTTTAAAACATTATAAATCCTAAATATTAAATACCGTTATTCCATAAATAACTCTATCTACATGTCATTACTTTAAATATCGATATTTAGATAACTAATGGTAATGAATATTGGAATTTTAAATTAAAGGCTATTAACGTAAGATCACCTAAAAACAAGATGATAACCGACACATCACAAAATATTTTTTATAAAACAATATCATTTTACTAAAAAATGCTTAAGCTTAGGATTAAATAACAAACTATTTTATTTAATTAAAAAAAATGATTCATACCGAAAAGTATAATAATCTTTTCTGAGTAAGATTCTCAAGTCAAAAATAACCTGTGTGCGTTTAATTTACATCGTTGTAATAATAGTGATTAGTGATTCTTTAAGTTAGTTAAATAATGAGCACACCATGTCAAAATTGACTATAATGTAGAACCATAAGTTTTGGAAAATAAACTTTTAAACACTTCATAATATATAATATGATATATTATGGTTAATTTTGATACATAGTACATTATATGATTACATTATGATATGAACTAATATTTTACATATTCGTAATATTATATAATAATTATATTGTATTTTAGCATTTTATGTATGAAATTGAATTTTAATTAAATCTTTAACAGTTATTTAAATGCCATTTATAGATCATAGGAAGTAAATGCAACATAATTATGCTGACATTAGAGCCCAATTCCAACTTTTGCTTTTTTTTTTTTTATCTAAAGGATATTATTTGTAGGGAACTAAATAGTAAATATTTTGATCACTTAGTATCTTGAGATGGACCTAATTCGTTGATTAAAAAATAAATGTTGTATGCTTTGGAGTGGAATTAGACCTTTTTATAATATAGGTATATACATATAAATATTAAAATATATATTATATGAAATTTAAAGATGGGTTATTATATATATATTATATATTTATATACGATAATTTACAGCGTACAAAGCCACGCAATTGATTTCAAAGCCATGCCCATGACCCTACTGAACGCCACCAATTTCATAATGCGACACCAGAGGTATTTGCTACAAGACGATGAACGCGGATCTGACGTACGGGCATCAAGTAACGAAGGTAACTATCATTGAACACCAATTGCGTTTTTGTACGTAATGTACAAAAAGATTCACCAAGAATTTTCAAAATTTTTAAATATGCTTACCGAAAATTTTTAATAATTTTATTTTAAGGAGTTTTTTGTAAATGTCTCATACGTATGAATATCCTTTAAATGTACATTTAAAAATTCCAAAAATCAAATTCTAAGAACTCTATTTTTGCAGAAGAAAAAATTCACTCTGTGTATACGATAATATTATATATCTAGTACACAGGATCATCGAGCGTGGAGTTGATATTTGATGATCAGAAATTAAGGTTTATTTAGGATAATGTATATTGTGTAATACATCCGTCAATACAATAATATGCACTGACACGTAGGTCCATTAATTATTTCAATATCCTATAATAACTTGATTAAAAACTTCGTTACGATGTGCCTATTGTTGAATACCTATAAAAAATTCAGTAAAATTCAACATATTAGGTAATAAATTGTTATTTTGTATAGCCGTGGTTCTTAACCGGTGTGTAGACGAGTACGTCCAAATGTGTCACGTGAAGTACTAATATTAAATAACATAAATATTTTTAAACAATTAATGTATAAAAATAAGGTTTTTTTATATATTGTATTTATGAGCCGCTTGGGTTAGTAGGCCGGTATCCTTCTAGTTCGGGCCTGAGTGTATCGCCATTTTTATGGATTAAAATTAGGGTGTCGTTATACAAAAAAAAGTTGAGAACTACTGCTACACGCAATTATAGTAAAACGTGAAATTAAAATCATAGGCATCTAATAGTTTTTTGTAGAAAATAAAACTCTACGCTGTGCGAATAAGTTTGAAAATCTTATGGGTAAAAACAAATACGGCACTTCGGAATGGTCGGTAAAAAAAAACTCAAATTTGTTATCTATATTATAAACGCGGTTCACTTTAAAACCATGTTTATTCGTACCGACATATTTTTAACCACAGATGAATTATTTATCCATATACATTTATTACGCATGTTACTTAAATAATATTTCGTACGACAATTCGACGTCGGCATACCAATGACGAAGCAGACGATATAACAGTAGTATAATACATAAATATTATGCGACGTTGTCTGTGTGACTAATATATAATATGTACACATTACACATGTGTAATGTAACTGCTCTTCGTCGACTATAGGTTCCCGAAATATCTATAAAAAAAATAATAAATAAATAAACACCCAATTTATGTAGATCAGACTGTAAAACATCAATAAAACCATATAGCATAATAATGTACAATAGTGTCTCACCTCATTGGCTCTTTATGCATAGGTACTCAATTGACACTGAATAACACATTATAATATTATGCATACTCTAATATACTTACATAACCGTTTGAGTGTCCATTTCTACACATCATTATAAAAATTATTATTATATGATTCTACTTTTAAATTATTTACATAAATTATAGTCTTAAATAAATCAGTCACATTGTTTCTTAAAAAAAACACAAAGAAAAAAATTTGCAATTTTCAACTTTGGTAATATTGAAAAACCTTAAATATTATATTTGACGTAGCTTTTAAGTTTTGATTAAATACAGTTATAATTTTCAAATGTATTTAAAATTACAAAAAAATTCTCGAATGGTGATCCACGTGAAGTGAAATATTATAATCCTACCTAATCAAGCTTTTCCACAATTCAATATTATTATTATTATCTGTTTTAATCATCTTAAGGTATCCGTTTATATATATTATTATAACAGCTTAGTGTGTTTACTTTCAGATATCTGTCATGAAATGACGATAAAAGCATAGAGAGCATTTCGAGCTTGACTTTTAGCTTATGTAAATCTGCCGTAGACGACGAGCGTTTAAATGTTTTGTCTTTGAAATAATTTGCTTGATGGTTGTTTGTACGCACTAATGTCGTCCATAATCATTGTTGTTTAAGGTGACTTCGCTTTAAAATATCTAACGTCTGATGTAGTTTATGACTTAAAATTATCACGGTATTATCAAACCTTATTCACCGAAGCAAACGTAATATCTTAAATTCATCTCCTCGTTTCTGTTTGAAACAACGTCTGTTTGTCAATGCCTTATGCATAAAATATTTCAAAAGTAAATTCCAATCGAGTTAATAGCATATAACGTGCATCATTATGATCATATGCGATTATTATTTAAAGTTACTAGCTAGTAAAATAAATAATAATTTCACATTTTTGCATCATAACCAAAATATTAAAATGTATGTATTGTAATCGTTGTATTGCATTTCGTTAATAATTCGTATAATATTTAATAACACTGTGTATTATGGTGATACACATTTATGGTTGCATATTACTTGCGTCCCACAAAAATGTAAATTTTACAGGTAGTAAATTAAGTAAGTAACTTGCGTCCCGTTTTGCGGACGCAACTCAACCATATTATTCTTCTTACCTGCCATTTAAGTCATGACCAAGTTGCGTCCATAAATATTATGCGTCCAGCATTACAATAATATTGTTCATATTATGAGGTATGTGTAAATTGTATCTACGGGTTTATAAACGTTTTTTAGTTTACTCTTAGTTTTAGTTTTAATTGACAATTAACGGTTTTATAATAAAATATTTTTTAAACTATGCATAATAATTATTTAAAGATGTTTTTTTACATAATCTATAAATTTTTTGTATAGTTTTATTTTTTAATGTGATGTTAATGTATTTTTAATGTAATTTAATCAAATTTAATGGAATCATATGCAATAAATGAATTATAAATATATAATAATACTTTGTAATACTTAATGAGTGCTATACTTATGCTTTATTTATGTCGGGACACAACTAGGCTGCCTAAAAAAGTATACCAGGACGCAAATAGGCTATGACCTTTTTTTGCGAGACGTAAGTTACCTACTGATAATTAATTCGGACGCAAGTAGTATGCACCGACATTCATATAGCATATTAAACTATTTATTAATAAATATTCAGAAATACTTAGAAGATTACTTTGTACATTGGGTAATATTCGAGTATTAAGGTAAGACCTTTTTCAATGTCACACAGCTAGAAAATTTAAAAAAAAAGCGATATACGTATTTAAAAAAAATTGATTTGAAAAAAAAATGAATTTTTATGTATAGATTTAATGATTTTCTGTGGAATTTTATAACTTTGGTAAGTTTTTTGTACAATACTTCTGTTTATTATCCATGTAAAATTGTAGTAAAATTTTACATGGATATAATGAAATACTTATATTTATATATTTATATAGGTGCCTTAACTAATAAAATTAAATATTTTCTGAGAAAATTAATAAACAAGCTTTATTTTTTATCAGAAAATAATTTTATAACGAAAGTTCGCAGTAGATATTTGTTTGAAAAATGTATTTACAAAATTATGGTTTTTTTTTTTTTTTTAAAGACATTTTATATACTCGTATTACATAAGTACATAATAATAATATAAAATTAATAATTAGTTTTAAAAGTAATGTACTAATATATATGATGGGTTTATAAAATATTTGTAGCATATAATGAGATCAAACCATTCTCTGAAAATTAATAAAATTATATCTCTCTTATTGTATTTTAATTATTTAACGGACTATGTTGACTAAGTCATTAAAAGCTCAGGTTGAATATTGTAATGATATTGGCGTAAGTATAGCTTTCATAATGGTATTTAGGTCACCGTAAATATACAGCTCGGTAATATTATTCAAAAGTTTAAAATGTTCTGAATTACTTAATTTGTAGATCATCCGACTACACTCCAGTATCATTTATAATAATATATTATATTTGAGTTTCAAATAATAATTGAAAATTATCATCAATGGTGAAATTATATTTACAATATACTCCAATTTACAAATATTGCACTGATACATAATATAATAAATGCTGAATATTAATATGAATGATAACTGTACGAATAACTGTAAAATCGACAAATGTAAATCGTAACTATCGTTTGACGTTTATAGTTTATTCGTTCATCGGTTGCTATTAAAGTGGTAATTCCAAATTCGCAATAAATCGCACGTCTAAACGTCTAATTATATTATCTATATATGATATATATGACTAAAAATCTATTGACTATTGTTATTTATTATAACGGCTATAGTCTATAGGTTTATCAGGCTTTTACAAGATGTATAATAAAAGTCAAAAGATACATAATAATAAAGATAATAAAGATGATACAATAATATGTTTATGTTCAATGTTGTGTATAGTAGGTATACGTACAATGTGTACGTGAAAAAATAATAATATTGTTCGTAACTTCGTTAGATTCAAAAGTAATAAAATTCATGAAATGGCGAGAAATACCAATTTACCATTTAACTCGTTAAGTTAAGTAAATTAAAGTTACTTTTTTTTACATATTTAACTCGTTAATAGTTAAACCTAACTTGGTTTAAAAAAGTTTTTTTACATTTGAAATTTGAATATTTCCCACCTAAAATACCGTAAATTCATGTACGGTTTTCAATTGTATACCATACACCGTAAATGGAACAAAAAACCCGTATATGTACGAGACTGCGCGCATGCGTACAAAGCATGTTGGGGTAACGAGTAATGTAGCGGCGAGTCTCTTGTAAAAAAAATGCCAATGCTTATCTATTCATTCAAAAAAAAGGGGGAGAAGAAGTAGATAACTGCTTTATTGTACAATTATTAGGTGTTGAGTACCTAAATCTTGTCATTAATTAGATCACTATAATGCTTATGTTAAATTTGAATAATAAATTATTGTAAACGAAAACAATTTTGAATGAAAACAGACCATCATACTATATTACTAACTGTACTTTGCATTTTTGTAATATATTTTTATATTGCTATTAAAATAAATTATTTTATTATTAGTAATATAGTAGGGTGAATTATATTTTTTCTGGAAATATTGCATTTCATAAATTATTAGTATTTAATTATTATAATAGTATTTATTTGTATTATTTATAAATATTATCAACATTTAAGTCAATAATGATTTACCATAGTACTGTACTACGGTGTAAATAGGTTTATCAAAAATATTGAAGTTGAAAAACAAATATTTTTTTAATAATTTTCTATTATATACACATACATAAAATATAGTCTTTATAGTCAATAAATTTATCGCTTTGTTTAAAATGTATATCTATCATAATTTTTAATGCAGTCACCTTTCTTAAAATGAAAATAAATATTTAATTTTTGTATATTATTTCACAATATTGAAAACTTCTAACTTTTTTTTATATATACTATTAAACTTATTTAAAATATATATAGTCACAATTTTGTCTTTTTGGTTATGATCAAATTTGAAAGTTTTTAATTAAGTTTATATAACTTTAATTTTCCCAATTTTCCTTAAAGCTTTACCACTAAAATATAAACTCATGTTTTCTACTTTTTCATTTATATGTATATATCTTTGGCAAAGTTAATTTAATATTTTTTTAATTGTAAGAAATTAATGTAAAATATAAAAATATATTAAAAAGTATATTTAAAAAAATAAATACATTTTATATAAAGTACTTAAGGTACTTTGTTCTTTTTAAAACAATACAGTGTGTATAGAAACCCATTTATGACTACATAATGGTCCGTTAATTTAAGCTAAAAAATAAACAAAAGTAATATAAATATAGTTATAATAATAAATAACGACCTAACTACATTTTTTTAAAATAAGATTTAATTATTTTGTCTACTAAATTTAAAAATTTGTCATTTTATTTTTAATCTTTATGTATTCATTCAAATCTAAATTAATTAAAAATATATAAGAAATGATTGATTAATACTTACAAATATAATTGTATAAATAAATTAGTTAAGCAGTCTTTAACCCGTTAACACATTGTATAAATATTACATTTATTCTTAAATACATTTTTAATCATTTCATATACTATCATGTTTTTACTATAAACACGATTAGTGAGAATTTAAAAAATAATAGGTAGTTCATGGCTTGAAAAGGTTAAAGACCCTTGTATCAGCTAGTTAATTATTTTTATGTTTAATTAATAACTTAAAACATGATGCAATTATGTATAGAAAATCAAAAAAATGTTCATCTTACTACCTGAGTTTATGCTCTTAAAATGTATTAAAAACGAAAAAAAATAAGTAGAGCTTTCCATTGGTTGTAGTTTTTTATGGTTGTAAAATACTTAAATATTTTCTCAAGTTTAAATTATGATTTCATATTATATAAAATATAAACATTTTTATACATTTTTTAGTTTAATAATTCGTATACAATTCTTACTTCTTTCAAACTGCATATACTCACAAATATAATAAATAAAACCATAAAGATCCAGGATCTACTTAAACCTGGAAATTATAATTTTGTTTATATGTTAATCGTTTTCGAACTAAATACATTTAATTATGGTTAAAACGATTTAAATTTCACGAAAAAAAAACTTTAATAGAAAATGTACTTGATACGTAAAAAATCTCTTTTTTTTTAATTATTTATTTACGTGTTTATCATATATAATTGAATAAATATAAGATATTAGGTTTATTATATATTAATTGAATAAAGCATTTTATATTTTCATATAATTGCAATACAATAGATATGTATTTAGGTTTAGTTCAGGAATATTTCTGATCTCTTCTTTTACCCCTTAACAGTCTTGAATTTTAGAAAAAAATTGATGTCAATCATTTTTTTCTGATCATATCACAAGTTACTCCGTTAATTTCTCAAAACACACTTTACTAAAAGGTTGAGGTAGCGCATCCCCCCTTCCCCCCAAAAAAATCTAATCATAAAGTCGTATATTATGTGTTATGTGCAATATGTACATTATTACATTGTCAATTGAACATCGTACTCGTTAGTTAAAAAATATTAATTTTTAAAACTCGCAAACAATTAATATTTAAAGTAAAGCGTGTAATATGATGACTAAAAAACAAAGGAACTCATTTAGTCTATTTATTTCTATTAATGGTAAAATACATAATATTATATTTCATCAATAAAAGTCTTTTGACGTATACGTTGACGACCTACATATGGAATATTTGTATTTAATGATGATAAATAATAATATCATACTACCAAATCGATCCGTTATATTAACGCATGGCAAGAAAAACGAAAAATCATATCTTAATTATTTGACTTATAACGTGTGTGTAATGTTTCGTAAACTGCAGAGATTATTTTTCATTACGATATTATTATGCGATATATTAATAAATACGATGTTAAGCATGGTAATTAGTGCAGGTACCTATGCGAAACGAACCTAATGGTTTTTTTACTGTTCTCCTTTCAGTGAACATGAATATTGATGAGAATGTAGACGGCTTTGTTAACAGCCCTTTAGTTTTAACTACTGAAGTGTGCAATCCGAGAAAATGCAAAGCCGGTAAAATGGAAGGAGTGTGTATTAGCAGCGAATCGTGTTTCAAACACGGTGGTCAGACCGGAAACCCTTGCAACGGATCGAGTAATCTGATATGTTGCACATGTCAGTATCTAAACACAGTAGTATATCTTTAATACATTTAATGCAAATAAATTATAACGCTAATATGTTTGCGGCTAGAACATGTTTGACTATTATTTTAAGCCTCCAAGGGTGGGAGGAGACTACAGCACGTTTACTATATTTTTCCAAATACGTTATGTTCATGTGTTTTTAAATGTTTTTTTTTCTTACTGTTCATATGATAATTTTATGCAGTCATACTTACGTGTGGTGACATCTCTAGCCAAAAAGTGACGTACCTGCAGTCTCCCGACAATTTAAAAATTGATACGGGAAGTTTGGCATGTGACTACGACGTAATGGTTCAAAAGGATACGTGCGCTGTCCGGTAAGTTTGTTATTTTCATTTTTATGTAAAATTTAAATAATATAAAAAAAATTCAATGTTTGAATATTAATTAGTCTTGTGATAAGTACACATGCATACTATATATTATGTTATTATGTTTATATAGTAATTAGTTAGAATACAATATTATACTGTTTAGAAAAAATAAAAATAACGTATATATTATGCAAATTTTTTTTCTTATTCAAACCTTTCTATTTCATATATGACAAAAATATTAAACAAGGCATTTAAAAACAATTCTGAGTCATAAATACCATTCACAATATTATATACAAATTATCACAAATAATAAAAAGGAGCAGGCGAGAAGTAGTTTTTCAAGTGATAACCAAACCTAATCTAACCTAACCAAAATATTTTTATATAAAGTAAAAAAATATGTGATAATCCCATATCTTACTTCAGACCTAGAGATCAGCACCATCGCATACTATTAATTTCAAACAACTAATTATTTTTGCAAAAAATAAGCAAGAAATAATGAAAACAATTTAATAATTAAAAATTAGGAACATAAATGTATTTATTGTATAAATTCAAAGTCATTAATAATTATGTAATTTAATACGAAACTTTTAATTTTTTTTAAATTTTCATTGCCAATTTTTTTTCTACCTTCAGTAGAGAAATACTGAATTATAGGATAATTAGTACGAGTTATTTAAAAAAAATATGTTTAACGTTCTTTAATAATTTTCAAAAATTTAAAAATAATAATTTTGATATTATAAGAATGTTTCTTCTGGAGGATTTTTAGTATAAATCTTACTGTGATAGTTGTTAACAAATAATAAATTATACCTATAAATTAAAATTTTACATATAATAAGGATGTAGACATATTATAAAAAAAAAATAACTATAATTTAAATTATTTTTATTTTTGAGTAAACATTTACAATCCAAAACTCCTCTATTGGTTGTGCAACTAATATATTTTATGGTAGTATATAAAACTTCAAATTTGTATACATTTAAAAGATATTTATTTATGTAGAAATTAATTAAAATATTTCATAAATATTAGTGTTGCAACTAATTAGATATTACAAATTTAATATTTTTTCTAATACAAAAAATTAACATAATATTATTTTTATAATTAATTATTAAAACACCCAAACAATAATTGTATAAATGTTCCATATTTATTTTAAAAATTCAGAAGGTCTACGAAAATTGAAATTACATTTTTAAAACTAAACATTATATACTTAGATATATCATTTGTATAATATAGAAATGCTATAAGTCATCATGTTAGAAATCTACAAGATAAAATTATATTAAATTATTTAATTTATTTTAAAAGTGTTAAAACTTTCGTCAGCTTCTTGAACACGAGAAAACATAAAAAGTTATAAAATGTATTATTTGGAATTATATTTTTCATGAAAAATATTTTATTAGAAACACTTTATAGCTTATTTTTTATTATCTTGAACCATATTATTTTTTCAAAATATCTAACGTAAAACTTTAAATAATATATAAATTTTGATAATTTTGCTATACGATACTCGTGTATAAAATTAATTCTTAAATCAAGACTTAAATTTTAAAATACAATTTTGATGTACATTTTCCTATTAAAATATTTATTAAAAATATGAAAGCTGAGTCTACGAATTAGGTACGAGTCAGGTATGCATTTCGTGTTAAGTAAAATGTAACATTTAATCATTGAATTTAACAGAATACATATTTATCTAGATATATTAAAAATTTAATATTTGTAAAAAAAAAATTATCAAAATTTGGAAAATTATGAAATACAACGCGTTTTATCGATGTACTTACATGGTGAAAGAACGTTTCAAACAAGTGTCGTTGATGATCGTCAGTGAGTGATTGTTATTATTGAATACATTATGTATGATTACGGTCACTCTATAGTGGTAATAAAAACAATAACAATAATTGTTACATCCTTATAATTTTAATTGTTTATTTATAATTCATTAATAACAATTTTCACTGCATACTTTTTTTTCATAATATGCTTAGCTATGTAAAATCATATGTAATACGTTGTAATTAAAACCGATGAATTTAAATATGATTTGTACGAATATAGTATGTTATAACGTAATACTAAAAACAAAAAAACGATGTAGGTACTTGCCGAACAATATCACATGTTTATATTTGTTGCACGAATACTAAATAGTTTTATTCGATTAAATGGTAAAAATTATTATTATACGACTATACAAGTATAGTCCAAATGTTTTCTTAAATTTCTTGTAAGTTAGGCGATTATGATAATTTATCAGTATATCACATAATAATTAATAACTAATAGACTTTTAAGGGGTATGAATGGTATGCTAATATTTTCCATATTATTTACAAATTAAATTAAATTAAAATGTTTGTTTTTTGAAGTGTGGATTATGAAAAAGTGAATCTTGCTAGCAAGATAGGAGGAGTATGTGACATCGATCAAGTTTACATTTTAAATTCCAACGATGGACCGACGACAGGTCAGTGTGGAACATTGACGGGTTACAGCAGTAAGTCTTGACACATCAATGCATCTTACTGAACACTCTTATTAAGATTTAAGTGAATGTTATTTTATTGTACCAAGACAGTATCTTAATATCAAAGTTCAGTAAAATGTATGAAATTAATTAATTTATTTTTAGCCGTCGTCGCTGTGAAACCGCACCAAGAAAAACCTTTGAAAATAGCAATGGTTGTTCAAAAAGAACCTACCGATTATTGGCTGATCAAAGTTTCACAAATAGATTGTGGCGAAATAAAACCACTCAAAGGTAGGAATAACAACACAATTTACTATATACCTAAGTTGTAAAATCCATATTTTTGTTGTTATATATTTGTCCCAAGAGACTACTACAATAACCACGCTGACACGCTTATTCGGTAATTTTTTTCCCCTTTACAAACAAAGACTAATAAATCAGTAAACTCAAAATATATATATGAAAAGCGAGGGGGAAAAGTTCGTATAGTCGTATAACATAGAAGGCTGATTAGTTGGATGACAGCGTCTACGCTATAATATCGTCATATACTACAAGCAAAGAACAATAACTGTCTGAAAATAGATTTTTTCACGGTTCACGTTATTTTAAATTTACATTATACATGTATATACGTATACTTACTACATAGAACAGTATATACGCAGTCTCAGAATTCGCTATATTTTAAAATATATATTTAATATTTCAAACTATAAAAACAGCCAAGAAAGTTTCCATTTGAAAAGTTCCAACATGCGGTAAAAAAAACAGCAAAAAAACCGTGATAAATTATTATTTTATCACTTAATAATGATCGCTAAAACAATATATCATTTGAATAAAATAATAAAGTGTGTAAACATAATATTATCGTAATTTTTAAAGCAGTTTAACACCGCACTGTATATTATAACAATTAATAATATATTAACTAGATAAACTAGAGTATGTCCGACAAATTGTACATTTTGTTGATTCGACTGTACGATTTGAATTCATTTAAATAATTCAACCTCTCAGTAGGAAGCCTAAATAATGAATGATAAGAAATTATAATTATGTCATTCTTAATGCAAGGCTTCCTCGTTTAATGAAAATGAATAGTAATCAAACGCTACATTTTATAAAATTTTATAAGTATACTTACTGTAATATTAATGTTTGTTGTCCTTATTGTTATACAGATTTTTTAATTTTATACTACATCCGAATTATTCCATTTTGCTTATATAGTTATCACTTAAACTGCTTTATATCGTAATAAATACATAGAATTTATCCAAAGAAGAGTACCTACCCTCTACCTGTATAGACGTAATAATTTGTATGTAAGAGTTTGAACTTGAATGTGTTCTCAGATATCTTTAATCGTCGAGATATTGTTACGATGATTTATGATTCAAAACGATATTGTTATATTATTTTCACTATAAATCAAACGGTCCACGCAAGTATACAGATTTAATTTTCGAGGTTGTAAAGAGAATAATGGTGCACTACAGTATGCACTGTACATATAATGGTTCCACAATGATTTCCTTCCAAAAAAAAAAAAAAAAAAATGTTTTTTGCATAAACATAATTAATTTCGACGTACTTTAATCGGGTGATTAAGATGAATGCACAGGAAAACGTTTTTGTGGTTTACTTAAATCGTTTTATAATAATTTCACGTTCAAAAAGTATTATTAATTATTCAAAAAACATTGAGTTTATATATCAAAATATCGCGCAAACTTTCGTATAATTTATAAATCAAGGGGAACGGCAGCGGCTTAATTTTTTATAGAAAAAAAAAATACTTAATCGCACCATTACTTTCTGATTTATTTGCAAGACGGAATAAACTTTATTTTCTTGAACCATGAAAAATGAATCAAGCGGTAAAATAACTTTTTATTTTTATTTTGTTTTTATTATTTTTATTATTGTCATTCGTATTTATATCACATATTTTATTCAGTTGTTAGATTCTAGAAAATTTAGTTAATTCATATAAAAAAAAATGCATCATAATCCTTGACTTTTCCTAAGTAATATTCAAGCGCTGAATCGTATGCGTAACATAGTAATAGTAATATTACCGTGTATGGAAATATTGATCAACAGTCGGCCACCTGGACGACTTTTTGCATAAAACGATAATTTTATTCCTTCAAACCACCAAAAATATGTATAATGTGTGTAAAGTGTATATGATACAATAATATATTGTATGTTAAATCACAGGTTAGCTATGAATTTATGATAAACCTTTGTAGACGACCGCTGCTTCTATGGCTGCTGTTGCTAAAAATATAATCAGTAGAGGATTTATTTTATTTCTACCATAAAGAATTTATTATTTTAAATTAAACATAAAATTGTTTAAATTTATCCTCGTTTCTAGAACTTAAGATGATTTTATATTTCTTTTGTACCACTTATAATAAATAAATTGGTGCCGGATCTCAATAATGTGGTTGAGCTTCCAAGGAATTTTTGCGTTTGAAGTCACATTGACGGAAAGTACTATATATAATAATCATATATAGGTACATTTATATATCTATACATTACGTAAAATATACTATTCTATAGTTATTTATGGTCTCGTTATCGACGACGACCACGACGTTCAATCAATACAGTGACATACAATTTGTTATTATACGCATGTGCACAAGTGATGATATTGTATAGTTTTTTTTTTTTTTTTTTTTTTTTTTTTTTTAAATGTAACAGAATTTCCTGTTTAAAGTAAAACAATTTATAGAATTAAAACTTTGTGAAAAATTTTTAGAGTAGCATACATATTATGTAAAGCAGGTTCATTGTTTAATCAAATGTAGGTACGCTCGTCTTTGTAAATGTTATATAAAATGCAAGTGTTTTTTTTTATTTTTTGATGAATAATTTAATATCACTATTCAAATAGTATTTGAAAAATACATAATATTATTTAAGAACATATAATTTTCATGAAATGTTAAAGTGAAATTTAAATATTACATAATTTAGAATAAAAACTGTTGGAAAATATATTTTATATTGTGTTATATTTGTTTATAATATTCTTAATGTATAATAAAAAAATAATGTTGGAATTTATCCTCGTGTAAACAACAAAGTATTAAACTATGTTCAACTATATTGTTATAATAGTATATTAAATTATAACGGAATACCGTCTGGAACCTATTCGTTTTGGATAAAGCCATATGGAATCGCGCTGCAACCATTGCGGTACCTGTATAGTATGTAGATTATAACAATATGTATACTGATACAAGTTACAGCCCAGTGCTATGTATAAAATCGTTACGCTCTAGCAATTAAACGACATAGTACACAATAATGGCATGAGGCTGCAGTGGTAATTAATCGAAAATTTTAGAGGTTTTTATGTATGCAGAGTTTGGTAGATTCTTGTTTAAATAATTTAAGTAATCGAATAAAAACAGTATTAGAGTAACTATCATTTAGAACACGTTTTCGTTTAAATAAGTTTCGATATAAAGTCACATTCGAATAATAATATTTGTACACATTTCCATACTTGACAAACAATCAAGTACACCGTTAAAAAAGTAGTACTTACTTGATATTACGTACTATCGTGGCGCAGTATCCATGAACTTGTGCATTCGGATTTGTCTGGCTCGGAACGTGTCTATTTTTTACAATAAAAAATAATATTTATTTTTCAAAATAACAGTATAACAATAAAATTGCACCTTGGCAATAGATCTCATAAGTGTGTACATGCAATGAATGTACAATTAAGCATTTTATCTGATCTTTATTGAAGACTGCTGGTACGAGTTGAAATGTTTTATTTTTTTTCTCTCTTTTTTTTTTTTTTTTTTTTTGTAGTCTGTCACAAACTTTTATTATCAGTATAATAAATTGTATAGTTGGATAAGCCATCACAAAAGAGGTCGAAAGATACCTTCTATTAATCGGCTCTACCGCGAAGGATACGAATCTATATCCCGTCCGAGGATTCACTCCGATATTTCATTTTTGTTTAAATTGGGGTGAATCGCCTTTAATTTATTAGCTCAACGTTCCCTTCCCATAGTTTAATGATGCTGGGCGTCGGCTGTCCATGGTCTTCCATATTGATTTCAGTACATGACTCCGTATATAATATAATATATTCACATGATTCTTCTTATCGGAGCGACAAGTTTAAATAATAACGGACTATATATTATTATTTTATCGTGTAATATATAATATAAATTATATACATATATATATGTATGTATTTCTTTTTAGATTTATAGGTTGTTCCTAGTTTATGGACTTCGTTAATTTTATACCACTGTAAAAAGCTTTTGGACAGCTGCCTTAGAAGACAAGGTCAAAGAAATTTTTCATATCTTTTCGAATTGTGACACTGGATTTCTGTTTAAAGATCGCAAAGTGGATATCATCTATAGTTGGGTATTTTTCTCATTTAAGAGGGTACCATTCATCAAATTTTAACGAGTAATAGGGCTAAGAAAATTTTCAATTATAAAACAAATGTTAAGGTTTTTGAATTGAACATTTTTTATGCATGATAATAATAATAATACATATTGATAGTTTTACCGGTCGTTCGAATAATACATTTTGAATGAAAAATAAGGTACCGAGTATGGATTAAATCTAAGTTTATCGACCTTATTCTCCGGGGCAATCATACATTTTAATTTATAATATTATCACGGTTCTTTAAAGACTACGGAATCATTATTTGATTTCAGAAACACCGGATTGCGGTCTGAGGTCCGTCCAGCAAATGAACGACGACAACTTCGACGATCAATCACCGCACCTTATGCCGTCGTTAGGGACCGGACGTTGCGGCGGCAGTGGTGGAAGTGGCGTCAGTGGCAGCAGCAGTGACGGCAACCCTATGAGCCAACGGCTTCTACGTCGCTCCGTGGTCCGCCGCGACGTGCAAGACGTCCTACAACCATGGCGAATGAGCCGGCCTGAACGTCACTTAGGGTCAGCTAGAGAACGGTTGAACACTGTGCGGCGCGAAGAGTTCAGAGACGGCGACAACCGGAGGATTATCGGCAGCGACGAGGTGGACATCGGCGAGCTCACCTGGCAAGTGGCCATCGCCTTGGATGGGGTGTTCTTCTGCGGTGGAGCGCTGATCTCCGATCGATTCGTCATCACCGCTGCACATTGTGTCATGACGTAATAATCATAATGATAACTTTTCAGCGATAAAATTACGCACAATATTGTAGCGGTCAACACTTGCACTGCTTATTGCTTACTGAAAAAAAAAAAAATGGTGCTGGAAATAAGACGTTATCTCTACGAAGAGCGGGATAACGATTCGATCGCATAAATTGTTTTTAGTGAATGGTAATAATGGTCTTTCGTATTTAATGCTATAAATGAAAACGTAATTAATGTTTACTTGTATAAAACGCAATCGCGCGATAAAACATCTGTAACATAATTATAACGTATTTTCTTAAATATACAAATGTACAATTTCGAAACGGAAAGCAGTTGAATTCGCTACACTGGATCCACGTATATTTCAAATAGTATATTTAAAATGAAAACAACATCTTACTTACAAAATAATTAAAATTTCACTAAAATAAAGATAAAACTTAATCACACTAAATATAGTATATTGTTAAAATAACCTCACCTTTTAAGCTGTAGTGTGCGGAGTACGGACACACTTTGAAAACAAATGAGTAATTAAAAACATTGTTAATTGCATAACTAATTAAAACTAATTGATTAATAAAACCATTATGATTAAATTAATAATATTTCACATTTGTTTTTAATGAAAACCGACGTTAAAGAAATTCAATGACAATAATAAAAACGATGATAAAATCACTAACAAAAAAGAAGATTATTTTAGGAATTCTGTTGACAATAAAATAATATGGACAATGATTCCTAAAAGAAAAAAAGTTGATATTAAAGAGGTTGAAAGACCGGGTGTCAGACAATCGTCTCGTTTCGTTCACCACGATTCAAGACAGTTGTGTATTCAATTTGAAAGTAATGATAAATCATCGTTCTTGAAAAACAATTTTAAGTATATATGATTAGATCAGTTAAATACATATATATAGAACCTATTATACGTTATATTATTTTTTATGTTTTATATTTTATAACGCTTATTTTTTATAGTGCATTTTTGCGATTTCGTGTGAGTATAAAAAAAATTATCGCTAAATATTTTAAGAATTTATCGTATACATTACGAGGAGCTAACTTAATTGGGAATTTAAATTTTTATACCTTAAGGCTTAAACCAAAAATAAACTAAATCTTTGAAAATTAAAAAAACCAAAAAAATATTAAATAAAACCTCATTATTATAAGTAATTGGTTTTAATTTCAAGATACTAAGTCGAACATCATTTTTTGACTACAACTGAATCAATAATAGATGTGTTTATTATGTAGGTACGCAGTATTTACCCAATGAAAAATAAATTTTAAGAATTCGAATAAACAAAAAATAAAAAAAAGATTTATAAAAAATATATTTAATGAAAAAAACAGTGTTTCGTGTATGCTAATACATAACTATACTAAAATCAAGCATCATTCATGATTGATTTAAACTTTAAAGTGAAAATATTAATGTACCTGTTGGTTTATATTATACGTAACAGTTGAAACAGAGATGAGATTTTGTTGATTGAAGGTTCTTGATTATCGATCTTCGTGAACTGCTATACCATGTACCATAAATAATAATTATATGGACTGCATTTCGTAGAAAGGACGCTGAAAAAGACTTATGTCGAACGCCCAGCGTTATAAAATTTCTCGTAAGTCTTTTTTGACGTCTATACTAAGAAATAGTCAACATAAACCTAACGAAAAGAAAGTATCCTACACGTACTAGATGTATATATGGCAAATGCACTTTGTTTTCACCACGTGCCATTTCGTAACGTTTGGTTTTTGACACGTAGCACAAGGTTTTACGATGACTCGTATTTGCACACATTTGCGAATTCATCGCGCGTACCTTCAAATGACATTTTATTTATTATTATTATTATTATCATCATCATTATTGGTTATTTTTTTTGTCAATCAAGCTTTTATTCTCATTCATGTCATCATTTTTAGCCACTACTGCCACTGGATATTTGATAAAGGTACATATTACATATTACATATAATACATTAGAGTAGCATAACATTGTTATAGTTTTGCAGTTTCTCTCGGAAACTATTGCATCGAATGATGTAAAACTATGCATTTTTATTAGAATCATTTGCATACTAGCGACAAGGGATGTATAGTATGTACATAAGCTTATTATCTCAATTAATTTCTGTAGAGAGGTTTAAATGTTTAGTAAAGCGTAATATTTTTTAATTAAATTCAAATATTTGCCGGTCAAAAAGAAAACTTTACTAAGTGAAGAGTGCGTGTTTAGTCTAATATGATATTATACTGATTCACAAAAAGTTTTACTGTTGTTTTTTAAAAATATGAAACTTCAAAATGTTATTTATTTTTCTTTAGTAAAACTCAAAATATCGAAATTTTACATTAAAAAAATAATACTTATTTATACAACTTTTGACAGTCAAGTATTACTTTTGGATTGTGAGTGAATCAAGAAATTTATTGGTTTTATTAAGATTGTTTGTGTTTCTGTGAAAACCTTTTTGAATTTATATTTTTGACCTTTTTTTATTTGATAAAAAGCTGAAAGAGTACGAACCTACTCCAAAACTTTATGATAAGTTTCTTAGTTGAATCTTTTGTATTGTAATTTAAAGATAATAATATTACACTTGAGATTTGTGTAAGACATTTGAAATAATTTTAATGAGTTAAAAAATGAAGATGTAATCTTAAAATTCACGGAAATTTTAGTTAAAAATTAATGTTGTTAAGAATAAATAATCCATGAAATTCGATTTGATGGCATATTTTATATTGCAAAAATATTTTTCTATTCTAACATACTCAGTATTAACAGTATTAAATTGTAGATCTTCAACTTAAGGTATACTAGCTATTTTATTATAATGACAATAATTGACTTCTAAAAAACGTATTGAAATATACACAAATATTTCATTAAAAAAATTCTAGTGGATTCTCTTCTTTAGTGTATATAAGCAATGTATTGATACTAGTTGTACGAGGTCCTAAATTTTTTCTCAAATAATACATAGAGCACATTAACTCTTTTTAGTATTCTCTTAGTTTTATGTTTTTTTCATATATCTATTTCAATTTATTTATTTTTATAAAAATGTCTTGAATATATGAAATATATTAACAAAAAATAAATTTTTAAACACAAAAAGTTTTTAACACAATAAAAAAACTAACATGATCTTTCTTAATTTATTTCCTGCACTTATACTATTAATCTGATTTTTTACATTCTTTTCAATTTGTCCGTTGTCGTATTACTTAGATTTTTGTATTTTCTATACAGTTTTTTTTTCAATTGTTTATCCTGTTTTAAACGTATAATGTATACTATCGCAGAGTAATATTTATATTACATGTTTTTGTTCTTAGATCATATCATTTCAATCCTCAAAGTTGATTTCTTTGTGTATCATATATGATATATGTCAGTTTTTCAATTATTGTCCTTTATATTTTACTTATACTAACTAATTGAGTGTTAAATATATTTCTCAACATTTTTCGAAATTATTTATTTATTTTTATCTAGAGGATTTTCCACGCCAAATAGCAGAAACTCTTATAAAAAATTTAGCTGAGTATGTGATACTCAATCCGAATTAATACTACTAAGTGCTTACTTAAGATGTTTTTAATGTAAGTGAAATTGATAGGATAGTGGACTTCTTAATCGTTTATTTAACAAACAATTTATATTTATCCTACAATCACATATTATTTTAGATTTTGAGCGTTAAATATAGGTATATATTTTTATAAGAAATTTTTATGAACACTTGTTGAAGTAGTAAAAAAATTCGATTTTGTTAATGCAATGTCTCTAGACTGTAGATTACTTGAACAAAGACCATTTTTTTAAATTATACATTTTGTTTGGATGTATTCTGACAATTTTTTAGTGGACTTAATTACAAAATCTGATCAAAGTTGTTTTTTAACCCAACGACAGATTGTTTTTAATATATTTGAAATTGTTAATGTATATTTGCTATGTATAGTGATTAGTGGCCCATAATCTTTTTTATGTTCGTATTTATATAGTGTAGGCAATTTGTTTTCAAATTAAATTTAAAGATTTCCTTTTTCAAATATAAACCCAACAAATAAAAAAGTTAATTTTTATCAGTAAAAAACACATATTTTAATTTAATTAACTGCGTATATAAAATAATAAAATCTCTAATGTGTTTTAATGGAATTATTACCTCTACTAAATATACTTACATACGTAAATTGGGTTAGTAAACATTTTTTATTGTAATACAAGATTAATAGATAAGTATACATCGTCTGATTACCATTCAGATTATTAAAAGTTGAATTAAATATTTTTATAATACACGTCGTGCTTAATCAAAATGTATGGTTATAGTATTCGCTATGTATAAACTAAACTTTATATACAATAAAGCCAATAAATAAAAAAAAAAAGTTAATAATTAACTTATATGCAAACCTTCATACCTTCATGATACGCTATGATACATATATATATATATTTTTTTTTTTATATTTGTCTAAGTCAAACAATTTTTATTGAAACCCGTAGCTTTATGTTGGTATGAAAATAATTAATTGTTTGTATACTTGTAATATGTATAGGTGCTTAGCATACTATACATACTTTGTGTTTAAGTCGAGCACTGAAGTATAATAAAATATACACTCACTCCCATTCCAATATAATACAAAGTGATATTTTAACTGTCGTTTGATGCGAACGCCTATACTGTGAATACATGGCTCTAGTCATGTTTATACTGTAATATGCATAACTAATAAATGGGAAAACTGGTAAAACTACCGAGAATTTTACATCCTCGGACATTATTTACACCCGACGTCTTAACATTAATTTCGAAGTACCTGAGTTGGCCATTGTTAATAATGTTAAATCTGGTGAGCTTATTTTATTGGTAAAAGTCTATGTAAGCATTAAACACAATTTATTTTAGCCAAAAAGTACGTCCATCACCTATAAGGTGTGTGAGCTTGAGTAGTATAATTTAAAACGTTTATTATCGTAAATCAAATGAAAAGCTCTTGCTTTAAAACTATTTTATTATTAAAAGCCCTTCGCGTGGTCCTGTCATTTCATAATAATATATTCACTTGGTATACAATATTATTTTCATTACAATCTTTTCTTTTTAAATTCAATATACAACAACCGGCTTTTACACAGAATCATTTGTATTATTACTCACATATTTGGATATTTCACGATAAACCTTATAATCTTTTCTGTATCGTTCTAATTTTAATATATGTACTGCCGAAGCAAGTACAGTTTACCTAACTATAAAATTAATGTTTGTGATAAGTACATATAATTATGTTATTAATTATAAGTAAATCATTAATGTATTTATTATATTATATTTATATTTTTATATCATGGTTAATATAAAATGTATTCTACATGATATATTGAAAATAATTTATTCGATATATATATATTTATATTGTGTGAAACACAAATTCATATTATTATACAAACTAGAATTTCGGGAGAAAATTACGAGTAGATATTAAATATAACTGGTAAAAATAGTATTTATATATTTACGTATAATTTAAAATAGGTCAGCATAATATTACAGAAATGTAAAAAGAAATCAAATTTACATACTAATATTAAATAACAAAAGTGTTTTAATTCGTTTGAATAGAAGTAGGTACCTAATAATACTTTGGTTTTATGTAGTTGGGTGATACGGGTAAATTAATTTTGAAATTTTTGCTCAAAATTAATCTTTATGATGAGCTTAACAATAATAATTATTTGTACACTATTTAATATGCTCAAATTATGTAGATTATTATAAGCAATAAGCGTGACTCAAGTGAAATGTAAAATTTTATTTGGCACATAATTCATAAATAAATTAAATATAATATAAATTAAAACAAGAGTGTTGTTAAATCTTTATTATACATTTATTTGATTTGTCGCCAAAATAATATTTAGTTAAGTCCCATGGATATCGTCCAGATCATAACAACAGACCATCAGACCATGAAAATACATATTATAATTACTTAGTTCAATGCATGTATACATAGCAAAATTTCACAATATTGTCTTATTTATACACCTCAAGCTTTCAGGATTTGATAATTTCATAACATTATTATTACTATGACTATTATTCTTGTAGTTGTTGTTGTTATTCTTTATTTTTGTCAAGTATAAAACAAATTTTATCTCATTGCCTTCCATTTTGTTTCATTTAATTTATACAATACTCCATGAGGATTTACTTTTTTGAAATACTCAGTCGTCGTTGGTAAATCTTAATGAACACCATATAATTCAACTCTGAAATCAAAAATTTTTTATCTACGTTAAACAACAATTTTACTTTAAATGTATAATCATACTAAGTGTATAGTTTTTTTTTTTAATTTAAATATAAGCTTTAGTTTTAAATATTTTCATTAATTTATATGAAATAACAAAATAACCAGTTTCAACAGCATTAATATTATATAGTATGGGCTTTTTTATGTATACCTACATAAATAAATCGTAGAATTTCGATTTTTGTGTCATAACTTAATACAATAATATATATTTAATATTTATGTACTAAATGATAAACCTGAATACTTGATCAATGTACGATATTCGATTAGGTTAATATTAAATAGCTATAAGATACGTTAACACATTAAATGTATAATTAATACACTTTTAGAAATATATAAAATAAAATCAATCTCTGTAAAAATATTTAAACACCCATTATATTATTTAGTAGATATACATAAAATATATTTTTTACACACATATTTTTACAGTAAAATGCAGTATTTCCACTGTTTCTAAAGAGACGGTAAAACAAAAAAAAACTAAGACACAATTATTCAGTCGTAATAAAACTTAATGACCGATGAAAGTAAACAAGTAAACAATTATTATTAACTTTTTAATTTTTCCCGACTGACCACCTAACAATGACCGATCATCGTTGAGTGCTTGCACTACTGCAGTCCGGCTACACCACTTTGGCTATGTACACAAAATATCAATACATAAATAATTCATAAATTTCTATTCGTCCGTAAAACTTTACTCTATAATGCTATAATATAGAACTAATTATACCATGAAGCATTAATACGGTTTGGCGATTATCAATAATTGTGCACCGCCTTTTTTTTCACGCATCAACATTATTAATTGTAATGGTCTTCTATTACGGCGTTCCTCAATAGTCGATATGTATTTAAGGCTATTGCTTATATCAAAATAACTTAAAATTATATGATGATTGTTTTATTTCATTTATCAATATGACAATATTATAAGCATACGTTTAATTAATACTAATTTTAAAAATGCATTAAATTGATCATATGTGTCATATTGTTACCATGTTTTAACTGTATTCAATTAATTAAAAAAATTAATCGGTATTAGCCCCCTCATGATTGAGTGAATTTTAGCTTTAAGTATAAAAAAAAAATTAAGATTTTTTTACACAACAAATTATTATCATGTATACCTAACCCGGCCTATAATTAAATTGTTCTGATGCTGATGATGTGGCCACTATCGACTTTGGACCAGTATTTAAATTTCCTTGGGTCACGACCGTCATTAAGGTACTGACATGTCTGGGACGTTGCATAATTTATGCGATTTGCCGATTAAATGGATTGATTTTGACACTGCACGTGGGCGTTTATTACATATACTGAAACTTCCTCGTTTATATTATAAAGTACAGTAATACAATGCCACCACGTTACAATATTTATTTTTGCTCTTAAATTTTCACCAAAATCACCGGAGGGAAACGTCTGACCTACAAATGGAGAGAAAACCTTTACCGATTTATGCACACACTCGCCGTTTAGTGGTAGATTCAGGACGAATAAGATTTTCAGACGGTACGTTCGGTCATACACACAAATTTTGATGGTTTAAAAAAAAAAAAAAATAGATTACTCTTGCAGAGTTTGGGCATTAATTATTGACATTAATTTACATAATTGTATTCACTAATATACACATGGATCACTGATATAAAAAACTAACAGTATCTACAGGAACATAGCAGTTTATATTTAAATAATTTTAGTAAATTAATTTCATTATCCCAGTCAATTTGTGTGTTTTTTATCAAAAAAAAATCCATTTTATCACTAAGTTTATGATTAGAAAATCCGAATGTTGTTAAAATAAAATCAAGGCATATAAAATTGAGGTATTTTCAATGAATTACAATGAAAAATTTAAAACAAATAGTATTATACTTTATATATATATTGTCTAAAAACACTAGCATTATAAAAAAGCATTATAACTGTAAAACCTTCATTTTTCTTCAAAAAATAAAATAAAAAAATATGGCAGCCCCAGTGGGACTATAATAACTTACAAGTACCTACTCTTACAAATGTTCAAAAATACAAACACGTATACTGGCATCATATTAATATAACCGTCAAGCAATATAACATATTATAATGATGATATCATCTCGACCTTAAGCGATGGTACATAATATGTTATAATATTTCCACGATTCACAAGTTACATTGTTGCAGGTAAATATTCATCATCAATAGGACTCAGAAGTTTTTATATGTCTTTAAAGGAAACCAAGATAGACACTTATTCTATGCAACGATCAATTTTAAAATGAAAATTTAAAATCCGTAGGTTTACATATTTTGACAATTTTAAGAGAAAAGTGAAATTTATCTTTTTTTTTGTGGGTATCCCGACAAAATATCGCCGGTAAAATATCGTAAAACCAATATATCGTAAAGAAATAATTCCGCCGTAAATTATTATTGCATCTGTTAAATACAAAAACACCAAAAATTAAAAAGAATAAGACAGTCGGTTGAGGTAAACGAGTAAAGAAAATAGTAGATTACCATAATTGAGAGTTTGAAGATCATCTTTAAGGTATTTCATTTGATATATACTTCCATTATTTTTTTTTTTTTTTTTAATACGTATATCAATTTTATTAAATTATACATATTTTTACCAATCCTGTCATAATATATTTACATAACAATATTATATTCTTTGAAATTTGAATTATATAAAATTATTTATAGCTATTATAAAATATCAATCAATAATCAATACTACTTACTTCTAACTAAATTATTGCTATATTTTATACTGGCGATATGTGTGCTGACGATATTTATTTCATGCGATATATTGGTTTCACGATATTTCAGTTGTGATATTTTGATCACGCGATATTTTGTCGGTGATTCTTTTTCATGTATATTTTCTGAACAAAAAAAAAAAAATGTTTTCTATTATTACCTTGTGCGAAGTATTTTATACTCGATTATTTATCGCGGGTATTTTTTTTTCTTAAGAAATGTAGAAAATGTCGAAAAGCAAGTTTTTTCTCAATAATAACTTGACTTGACGTTATTATTATTATTATTATTATTATTATTATTATTAAAGCGTATTATAATTGTTGACCAACCAATTTATTGTATTTTATTAATATTATGATCATTATTTTTAATAATAAAAATATATTATTTTGTAATATACTACTACATTTAACTAATCAATAATAAGTTACTATACTTTTAGTGGATTTATGGTGCCGTGGTAAAACGTTGATGAATAAAATATTACATAATATTATTCCAATTATTCCAACAATATATTATTTATTTATTTATTTTTTTTTATTAACTTTTGGCCGAAATTAGCAATAGCTCATCAAAAGAAAATAGTATAATTTCATAATATTATTTTTATTTGTTATGCAGACGTGACACGCCGATGGACAACTTGACGGTGCACCTAGGCGACTACGATCTGACTACGGAAAATGAAACGGAACACCAGGCTCGGAAAGTGTCTCGCGTGCTGTTCCACTCTCATTTCCATCCGTTCCTGTTGGCCAACGATATAGCGCTACTACAACTCGACCGTCCGGCCGACATGAGCGACACCGTCCGGCCCGTGTGCTTGCCGTTCACTGACGGTAAGTAGTATCAGCATTATAATATAAAAAAAGTGAACATAATACAAACACTTTAAGTATAAAAGCAAAAAAAAAATATATTCGCTGCAGGGTCGTGGTTGTTTAACATCGAATGATCGTCTTATCGTAAAGCACTTGTTGACTGATTTATTTTTATGAATAATTTTAAGCATAATAGCTTTAAAATCTTAGCTGTAATCGGCAAAATAACAACATTTAAAAAAAAAAAAAATGTATTCTAACTTGTTTATTAACATTTAATATTTTTATCGCTATCATTTTTTTTTTTTTCAAGAAGTTTTACTTTTATATTTTATTTCATATTCTTTTGTAAAATATTTTCTGAGAATTTTAATGGTTAAAAATCAAATTTCAAACGATCTATAATTACATTACTTATGAGTACAAATAACTGTATTTAAAACATTAACGTATTCTGGAAAATCATTATAAAATTGGAAATACTTGCTGCCTTGAAAATAAAAATGAAAATTTTAAAAGTGATTACAGTAACTAATTTTTTAAATTAATTATTTTTTTTGAAAAAGTAATTTTGTAATTAAATTACATATATTATGTAAAAATAAATATTTCAAAAACGTTTAAAATATTGAGTGCTATCTGTTTAGATCATATAATCAGTTTAGATAGCATGTGAATTACTTACTTTTCAACAGACACGTCAACGTTTAGGTACAATGTATAAAGTACATCGAACGATTATTAACTAACATTTTGTAACGACATAGTCTATAAATCTAGATTCTAAAATATGAAATCATCATATTATAAGCAATAATTTCTAAAAAGAATGAATAACATTGTCCTATGTAACGAATCAAAAAAAATATAAAAATATAAACATAATATGGTCCTTAAATATTTTTGTTTAATTTAGTTTTTGTGATAAAACGCATTAACATTCAAAATTTATAATACAGAGTATGTACCTACATTATAAAAAGATAGCTGATTCGAATCAGAAGTCATTCTAAAAAAATATTTAATTTTAGGTAGGTATTATTGAACTCGTTGTATTATGACCATCGTAATATTATGCCCCGTAAGACGCATAAATAAATACAATAACACCAAGAACTAAAATGTTTGTAAATGCATTTTATATAATTTATTAAAATTTTTATAAATATATACCAAAAACATTAGACTTCATAATAATAATAATGATAATAAGTAAATTTTGATGTTACAGATAAAACACGATCCATCAGACAATGTTTTCAATAATTAACTGCTAATTCATAATACTTAGGTATAGGTAAAGTGGCAAGCACTTATTAAACATATATTTATATGTAATACTCTTGATTACATCTTCTATGATAAATTATAATATATTGATTACAATTATAATTTATATTGACCTACATAAAGTTTAAATAAGACTTTCAAAATCAAATAGTGCTGCGCGACTATTCAGGAATTCGAGTTGGATTAGAGACTACAAACTTTTTCTTAAAGTCAATTTAATAAAAATTTTAATTGCTTAAGTTAAAATGGAAAAGTAATTTTTAACGTATACTTAATTTAATAAATTTTTGTTTCGTTGAAAAATTTATAAATTTTATATCATAATATTATCTGATAATTTTATATCCTTCTCACCTATAGTCTGTAAAATAGATAGATACCATTAATTATAGAAATAAGCATAAATAAAAATCTGTGTGGAAGATAGAAATGTCAATTAATTCATATTTAATATAATTTATTATACAGATGAGGTTAAGTTTGGAAATACTTTAGTAGAGTTAAGCCTCACTAAATCTCCTCCACATTTTACGGCTATGTACCTTTAAAATATCTATAGTTACAACCCTGCAGCCTATAATTCGTAAAAATAATAAATAATTATATGTATACTATACATCACACAAAGATAGATCCATCAGCTGTATATTTTATATTTTTTGATATACTAGTGTCATCAGATGTTACGCAAATGCCTATAAAACTAAAATAATTTATATATTAGATTTTACGATTTATGTATATTATGTGTGCTTTTATTTAGTTTTTTTATGTGAAAAACATTTTTAATGGTGTTGTTAATGCGCTTTCGCGCGTAGTTAATCCACCGGAAAATACGCGTATAATAATAATAATAATATATTACATCGTGCGCCATATATAAGTTGCACATGGAATTAAAATCGAGATTGTAAACATTTTATTATTGAGTTTCGATACGACTCCAAAATGGATAAATTTTGATACGCACGTACATTATTTTTGTATAAATGTCAGGCGTTCTCCATTTCGTTGTTCATATAACTTCCTGTATCAAAATACCTATGGTCATGCAAAACTAATAATAGTTATACCTGAAATCCTGGTCGAAAAGCCATATTGTACGTTTTAACTCGTTCTTATAGGTTTATAGCTGTGTGTATAAAGTGTGTGTATTTATAATGCATAATGCTTTCTACTTATTTGCTAATAATATAATTTAATACATGCCTGGAACGCTATGCAAAATCCTCAAAAACCTTAAATAATTTTTAGACTAGATCGGATAATTTAATATGCTCTGAGGAAGATGTAAATAATATAATAGTATGTTATAAACATTTTTGAAATACTATATAGTATACACTACACTATGTTAGCGTATATTTTCTGAGGCCGCGTGACGAATATATACAGAATGATGTTTCACCCAACATACTTTCCCGCATTTTTATTTAGTATTAAATTTCTTTAATTTCTAACTTTTGGAATTTACCTTAAAACTATCTATAAAAACATATAAATAATATTTAAATATTTTAAAAGATATTCATATCATTCAAAGAGTGTAGTTTGATAAATAGTTTTAGTGTTTGAAAATTTAGTCATTGAATACTAGCTGGTATCTAACCTACTAAAAAAATTCCAAAAATCTGACTTTGAATAAATTCATCATTAAAGGAAAAATAGAGATGACCATTCTCAGTTAATTATCCTGTAAAAATCACAAAATTTTGTATTGATTAATCACATGCCAATGATCAAGACAATGTATATCCTCGTAAAGATAATTATATGTATATAGATTATAGGTAGTGTCGATATTACTAGTTCTAATCAGCATTGATTTTATACTGAATATATGAAGTCTATTACTCGTACAATCACGTTTAAATAGAGCCAAGTCGTGGTTTTAATTTTTTTTATCGTTTATAACCATAATATTATATATTTTGATCAAAATCGAAAACCAAAAATTTGTCGCATATAATATTATATAATATATTTTACATGTATCTAATGTATTTTCAATTTTTATTTATATTCTGTACACTAAAATGTATATTTTCCCTAGATGCTTGAATATTACATACATATCTCAATATTATTGTTATATTGTATGTAACGTAATAAAATGTCAGTGTTAAAATATTTTTGTTTTTACTCAAAATTTAGTTTATATCCTAAGGTTCTGTACAACTATTGTAACTGGTAATGAATCATAACTAAACCAAAACTATAAATGATGTTTGGAATTCGGGAGTTTTAACTAAATCGTTTTTGCAAATACGAGTAACACTCACACAAAGAAAATAATAATTAATTAGGTTCATTAATTTTAAAAATTGGACAAGATACATTACCAAATACATTAGACACTTTCATTAACGTTTATATAGTTAATCACGTGAATATTTTAAATATTGGTGACTTTGAACATGGGTCTTAAGTGTCATAAGTGTGCCAGATATGCCGTAACATTCCTCGTGGCTCGTGACTTTTTGTACGACTTTAGCTCATTCCGGGACTTTTTTTAATGTTTAAGTTACACTTAGAACAAATGCTAACCCATGACAATGAGATATAAACTAAAATAGGTAACCAGGAAAATAAACCAACCAATAACTACTTACCGTGATATTACTTATTACTGCAGTTCCAAAGAATATATATTTAACCACAGTTGTACAATATTGATGATAAGAATTTTAGATACTAGATATATTATACTTAATAATAAATAGATAGTTATTTTATTAATAATTATCTATTTGTTGAAAAATATAAAAAATTTTAACCATTAACCAATAAGTTTTTATGAAATGATATTTCGTATGAAATTAATCCTTTTTTGTTGAAGAAGGGAGGAGGGAGGATTAGGTTAGGTTTGTTAAGGCTTATTTAAGAGGAAACGACCCAATTCTCTTCACGACACACCCCATACCAAATTCTTGCGTACGCCTATGGTTTTGGTCATTATTGATAATGGCTAATAATTATAGAAATTTGTGGTAATACTTATAATATATATATATATATATATATATATGTTTATTGTGGCTACTAGTTAGGAAAAAGACGGGTTGTAAAATTATATCGTTTGTAAATCATTAATTATGACTCTCAAATCGATCTCGATGATGGAAATCCGTAGATTAGGTTTTCAGTACGTTTACTATGTCACGTCGTCAAGATGCACAGAATAACCTCACACGCATATTATACTAAATAAAATATATATTGAATATTGATATACGTCGACGTATTCGTCGTCAACGTGTGACAAAAATATAACAACTGGCGTGTCTGATCAATACCACGTCTGCTTCTACACAAATAACACATATTATAAGCTCACTATATTTAAGGCATATACAGTCAAGGTAGTACTCATCCAAAATGTTTGTATTATATTACCAGTGATTGGAATAGGAGACGAACTTTTAACACGGACACTGATTATATACAACTTAAGGGATAAGAACCAATCTTCAGTAATCTTTTATAAACAGTTATAATATAATTTTTTTTTTTAAACTTGCATGTCCCTGCATATTAAATATAAGTAAACAATAACTATTATGTATTTAAAAAAAAATTGTAGTTAAATAAAATGCGTATTTTAGAAAATATGTATTTATTTGCTCTAGGTACATACGTTTTATTTTTTAAATTGTGATTTTCAATATATATCATTTATATATTAGACTGGTAGATATCAATTATTCTTGTTTTTAATCGTAAAATATTAATATTGCAGGTACGTTTAATTCATTAATTTCATATTTTTACTATAATCTCAGTATTTCAAAGTTCCATTAAATATTATGCTCTATTACTATCTGGCTAACAGGGAAAAAATCTTATGTTATACTTCTCTTAGAAAAATCGAATTTTTCGTTTATTTCGTACTGATCATAAAAAATAAAATATTTTATTATTTTATTATAAAAATAAAATAACTATACAAAGAAATGCAAAGATGGATTTTTCAATTCAAAACAATCACTATTTGTGTCCATTTTATATTTTAGGAAAAATAAAATAAACATATTTATTTTTATATCATTTAAATATTTAAATGTCATAAATATTGAAAAAATTGAAAAACTATTGTAATAAAAAAAACTTTATTATAACACACGCCTTTTAGATTCTGAGTGATAACTGTATTAAGATTTTACAATGATGTGTATTTTTTTTGTTTTTGTCAATATTGTTTGGAACACTAAAAATAATTTGATTTTCAACTCCAAGGGTGGTTTCTGATAACAAATTTGATCTAGTTAGTACTTTAGATAGTCAGAGTAAAAGTTATTTTCGAGTTACACAAAAGATAAATTTAAGTATAAAAATAAATTTCGTCTTTTTTAATGTTAATAAAAATATTTTCATTTGGTAAAATAGCTTAAAAATGTAATATAAGGTTCCTAAGGGTTAAAACGAATTAAAAAATATTAAAGATACTTAAACATTTTTTTTTTATATATAAATATATACAAGCATAAGAAAAAAAATTTGACAATATTTGTCAAAATCATGAAAATATCAAATTATTTTGGAGTTAAAAATTTATTAACTATTTCATTTTCATATCTAAGGCTTGAAAATAATAATAATAGACTGTTTCTCATAAGTATTTCTTAATTAACCTGAAAAATTCAAGAAAATTCACATTTTTTTTTTTATAGTACCTAATATAATTTTGAATTTGGACAAAATTACATATTTCAATAAAATAATTAAAGATTTTAGTTATATTATTGTAACCCAAAAATATTATTCCTAGAATTTTGAATTTTTTGTTAATCCCTACTATTATATTTATTACTATACGCAATGAACTTTTCAAAATATGTAGATTAATTTATAGATAATTCCTATTTATATTATAAATTATTATTTTACGGTAAACTGATATTACATCATAAATTAATAACATTAATTTAATATTGTATAAATTTACTTAATAATAATCAAATAATTATAATATTTATAAATCTAGTATTTTCGGCCAAAATTAAATCAACTCATGGTTGTAATAATAGTAAAATAAAACATTTTATTAGCAATATCAAAAAAAGGTAGTCGAGTGGGTACCGCTCTATTCTACAATAAGTGTCGAGTGGATTACTATTATGGATGTGTTAAAATTCAATTTTATGATATTATATTATCATTGTAACGAAAAACGATTTAAGCGGAGACGTCCTGTCAGCTTTTATCACTAAGTTTATTTCATACGTATTTTTATATAGCTATTAAAGTATTTTTTTTCGAAAATATTTTATTTATTTTATTATAAGTATTTAATAATCATAATTATATGTATTTATATGTATAGAATTTTAAATTGATTTATATAACTTAAAATATAATATATTTTTTCTGTGAATACCATACAATAATAAAAATAGATAATAATATCTTAAAATAAATCAAAAATGTCATTTCGGATAGTAAAATTCATAATACTATGATATACATTATAAATAATTTTAATAATTTTCACAAATACTGTTATAAATTATAATAAAACAATTTACATCGTTATTTATCGTTATTTCGCCTAAATTTAAACTAAAATATTTATAAAAAATAATAACCGTTAAATAGTTATTAGATTTTATGATTTCAGTATGAACTATTTACAAAGAATCTTGTTTTAAATTTTCAAAACTTAAATAGCAAAAGAAAAGTTTTCATAAATTTCTATCAACAAACTAACTAGCGATTTTCGTCTAACTTCAAACGCATAAAAAAAATGTTGCCTATATATTTTTTAAGCAGATAAAAAAATAACTTTTATGGATCTCGTATTAAATTTTCAAAAATTTTAACATAAAGAATAATTTTTTATTGACATTTATAGAAAACAAAATTAAAATTTCTTATGCCTCTTAATAATTCAAAAGGAATTAAAAATGGTTGAAAATGTTATCGTATGATGAAAATAATGATTCAAACATTTAGTGAAGATTTTAATTCATTGAAAAAGTTCATTGTAATTTTATATTATTTTTTCAAACTTAGGTTGGAAAACGTAAATAAAACCTGACATTTCAGTTTTAAATCCGAAGTTTGAAAACCAAACTTCCTATGAATTTCTAACAAAAAAATAATTTATTAATATTCACGACTTAAATGAATTTTTTTGAAATTCTAACTATAAACGCATAGTAAAAAATACTATGGATTTTCGCTATTTTTCAATTGAGAAATTATCAACTTTAAGAGAGCTTTATTTCAATTTTTCAAGCATTTCTACCCAGCAAGTAATTTTTAATCAACACTTGCCTAGAAATAGCTTAAATATTGTAGCGATTTATTGTAAATATAAAATGATAACATAAACATCTGGTGAACATTTCGACTATCTAAAGTTATTTGTTTTTGAATTACATAAAAAAACAAAATAGATGTTTTCAATAATTAAAAATTCGTTTTTGTTTGTTTTTTCTGATAATAAAAACAAGTACTGGAAATTTTTAAGTTTGATCTCTTTAAAATACAAACTAAAACCTATTTTGAATCCAAAATCACCCAGTTTCATTAAAATTGAAGCATCTTATCGACAACTTATCGTGTACAAATCATTAGTAAAATCTATACATTTATTTCTTTACTCAAAATCTAAAAACATATTATTAAATATAAAACTTAGTGATTTAGATTGACTAAAAAACGATTCGTTCAATTTTTTTTTTTTTTTATGTACAATAATAAAATATTGAATTTTTGTTAAATAAAATTTTTTTGATCAAACATTATACTTTTGGAGTCTTGCAGAAATTAACTTTCTTTTAATTCAATAAAAGCCAACCGATTAGACGCAAAAAAAGTAATTGTAATGATGGAGGGGTTAAATCCTCCTCACCGACCTTCACCCCTTGCACACTTTTCTGGAGTCAATAATGAATGTTCCGTGTTGAATGAGTCGCCCTATACAGTATTATAAAGTACTATGTCATAAAAACGTAGATAACATACAACAGTATAATGCTCTACGTTTTTATTTTTTATCATCGTTTTAATAAATGCGAACTGCAGTTCGATATGTACACAATAAAATAATATTGTACAATACACAAATACGGCTAAACATCAGCTGCAGAAGTATCTTCTGCATAATATTTTATAAAACTTTTTCTATATTTCATGTTATATGCATTCAAATACACCAGGCGACTCGTATGTGGGCCAAAAAGGTACGGTCGTAGGATGGGGGATCACTGAGTTCCCAGCGGGCGACCCTAGCCCCACATTGCAGAAACTCTCTGTGGAAGTCCTGTCAAACTTCCAGTGTTCCCGCGTCATTGACGATCATGTAGATCTGGGCATGCTGTGCGCCGCTGCGCCATCGTTGCAGGGAACGTGTTTCGTAAGTTAACGATATTTACGACGTAATAATAATAATAATAATAATAATAATATAACGTCATGACACGCGATAATGATGACATATCACATCGTTTAATAATGTTCTAACATTATTATGTCATGTGCACTGCAGCGTATACGACCACTAGATTGCTGCTGGCACATATAATAATAGTATTATGATAACTTAATTTTAATATTCAGAGTAGTGTACATTTGGATATTTTTATTAATCAGTTTAAAAAAGTAGCTTTAGATAAATTATATATTTTAATCCGAACATAATGTGATTCTGTTTGTAAAATTTTACAACACATGTTTAATGTTTATTACATACTCGATAATTCATTCAGTATACTCACCACCATTTGTTTCTCTAACGATGAATTTATTCAAATTCTAGTTCTGGAAGTTTCAAATACACTTCAAGACATTCATAAATTCTTGAGATTCTTTGAACTACTTAAGAAGTGTCCTGTGATAATATAAACTTCTATTTTTTTTTAAATGATAACCACTATTTTTACTGTAAATTATTTGGTAAATCATTTTTTGATATACAAGCAGCGTATCAACTATTAAGATATTTAAACTAAGAATAATAGCTCTTAAAAATAATTTTACAAAAATATAAATTAGATTTTATATTAATCTAGTATTTGTTATATGCTTGACAATTTTTTTAATGTATAAATGTTGATACAATAATATTAATGATTATAATTTTCAAATCATTTTAGCCCCGTATATTCCAAACCCATTATTATGGAGATATTATCATCAGTGTACAATATGAAATAACTTAAAAACTATTCGTTTTAATTTTGATTAAAATAAGTTAATTTTCAGAAAAATTATCCACTAAATAATTTTTAATAGAAAAAGGGTTTTCATTCATATTAAATAGAAGTTTGTTCGTATTCATAGGAATCTCCTTCATTAGTATAAAATTATCTCAAGAATTTAAGAATATTATCTTTAAGTATATTAAAAAATTCCAAAATTCAGATTTTGTTTAACTGCATTATTGAAGAAAAAAGAGTGAACAATGAACATACTTGATGAATCACCAAATATGTAATATATACGTATGTATATATTACCCATGCATATTTTAAATTTTCAACGTTTTTCAAAAATAAAATGCATACCTTTATTACCAAAATTTAACTTTAAAAAATATATACATGAGTAAAACTCAACAGTTTATTAATCGAATATAAATATATTATAAGAATTTAAATATTTTTACTTTAATTTTCTGATAGGAATTTTGTGTAATCGACGTATACGCTCGTGTTGACAGAAATATCTACCCCAATAAGCTCGTATACCTGTAGGTGAAAGTTTAGATTATCTGATTAGATTTTAATTTTAATTTGCAATCAATCTTTTTTCAACATAATATTTTAACGATCAGGATAATCACATGGGTGTATAAACGTTTTTAATTTATATTATATTAAAATTCCTGGTCCGAGTAATAGTCATCATATACCTCGATACTGCTTTCACAATATGATACACTAAATAATTTTAAATAGAATCATCACTGCTGAATGCTTACGATATATTATATTTTTGTTCGATAAAACAATATTAAATACCCGCAAACGATTTGTACGCCTATTGTTTTATGCATATTATTATTATGACATTTGTTTATAATATTTTCGTTTCCGATCTGGCCAAGCACAATTTCCCATTAAAATCTCTAATTTTTATAATTTATTGCGTGATGTTTATTGTGTTTGATGTACACACATGTCCACATCTATTAACATAACGATGTTTTTATTCAAATTGTATTTACGAATTACAGCATAATATGTAAGCGTATAGGTCGTTTATATATGAATACCCCTGTATTATATATGCAATAAACAGAGTGATTTTTGCCGTTTTCACAGCAATTTCACAGCTTTTTGACGGCTTAAAAGCATTATTATTATTATTATTATTATTTATTTTTTAATAAATCGTAAGAATAAAATAAAAATCAGAATTAAACGATATGCGATCGAGAATTTAAATTATTTAAAAAACACAGTGAGATGACCTCTACATGTAACACTATATATAATTACGAATTATATTCTTCACAATTAAAACTTTTATACAACTGATTAAACTGTAACGATATACTGACATTTTTATTGCATATAATTTAGATAAATTCCAATGTGTAACATCACCATTATAACATCGCCTAACCAACGCTATTGTTTACTCAGTGATTTTTTACCAAACCATAATGTATCGTTCAATTTATAATAATTATTTACAAATAATTTTAATTTATAAGTATACAGTATAATGTATAATAATAATACTATTATAAAGTATTTTTATCTATTTTTAAAGTTTATTTAAATAAAACATAATATACAATATAATTTTATACCAGTTTATTACCTTAAAAAAAAAATCAAACTATTTTATACATATCATATTACTCCAATTAAATGTCTACAATACTAAATTAACGGAAATCTTAAGAACTTAAAAAAATTATATTGATACTTAAATAATATGTTATATTGCTCGTTTATATTTTTTTAACCAAAAAGAATTTATGTTAGCAACTTTTCAATTTTCATAAAAACTGTTTTATATTACACCCTTAAATTAAAAGTAGTAGCTTTTTATAGTAAAATACAATACAATAATGAAAAAAGCAAAAAAAACTTAAAAAAGAAACCACTTTGAAACACTTTAATATTAACTTATAAAGTACATAAAAAGTATATATATATTAAATAGTTTATTACATCAATTTTGATTTACCTTCATAATTTCAATGATTTTTATTTTTTGTACAAATATCGACTTTACTCTAAAAATGTATAACTTTGTAGGATACAGTTTATCATAAGTTAAAATAATAAAAAAATATTTTTGTTTTCATGGTACATGAATATGGTTATAACTTATAACATTTTAAATATATATAAATATGTATACAAGGTATTAAATTATCAAACTATAATAATTTAATAATAACTCAGTTTAATTCCAACTTTTAATCTATATTATTTATTATACTTCGTTAGTAGATATCTAATTAATTAAATTTAATAATAATGCATCATTTTCATTTGATACGTTTCATTTAACAAACATTTATACGTGTTAGATTCGATTCATAACTAAAATAAATTATACGAGTTTTTCACACAAGGTATGTAGGGTTTAATAAAATAAAATACATTATAAAACGATTAGCATATTCTAGAAGAGTAAAAAACAAAATGTTTACATTTTAAATATGGGTACGAGAAATGTTTTTATTTCACACCCCATGCGTTTATTACATGCTTATTGATTAAGCTTGAATTTTCATTTCAAATTTTATTTGTAATACTATTGTTGTTAATCCAAATATAAACCATTCAAACCACGATTTTTAAACAAAACAATATTTTTTTCCACCTCTTTGTTTTAATTTTTTAATTAACATAATATTCTTCAATATTTCAATATTTTTTTTTTAACTCTTTTTATAAATACACATGTTTATAATATATAACATAAACATATTTTATTTGTACATTTTTAATGTATTATTTATGTTTAAAAATTACCATTTTAGTACCTAACTAATGTAAAATGTAATTCATTTCTTTTTTTCAAGATTTTTTGTAAAGTAGGTACATTAATGTAATTTGTATTAATTTATGTATAATTCTTACTTATAAAGTAACGTTTGAAATTAAATTACTTTTATAATTTATTCAATTTAAGCAAATTTGTTATTTCATTTTTTTTTTTTTTTTTTTAATATTCGTTTTAGAATTCTGCAGATAACTTATATTTAATATTAAGACCCTCCCCCCCCCACAAAAAAATTGAAAATACGCCACTGAGTATGAATTAATTTAACTATTATTTATTTTACTTTATGTTGTACTTTTTACTTATACGTAAATACTAATTTTATAAATTACATGTTACATAAACTTATACTAGTTATATTTACTCAAAACAATTGTAATATTTTACAAAAAAAAAATAAATATTGTTCAATATCTATCATGATATTTTATTATATCAATTTTTTTTTCAAATGTATTCTCTCTCTGAACGAAAAATCTACAACAAAATATTGTAGATATCTCTTTGAATATCTTGAAAAACTTGAGTAACATATTTTTATTCTTAACATGTTTTTTTTTTTTTTTTGACTATGCATAATAAGTCTTCTGGAGTTCTAAATTCAGTACCTATATCATAAGTATCTTATAACCATACATAAAATATTATAATGTTGACTTACGTAGACTCTTGTTTCTGATCTAGTACGAGTTCATATTAGGCGGTTCTAGTCTTTCTAACCGGAGTTGAGCGTCGTTTCAGAACTACATCAATGCGCTTTATTTCAGATCACATGATCTAAACTTTTTTTGTACACATACCTATATAATAATTCACCCATAATTATAAACAAATAATTTAAATGGAAATGAACGACAGATTTTATGTAGATTTTTTTAAATTTCTTCACAGAACCTGAAATTAAATAAAAAGATGGCGCCAAATTTTAATTAAAAAAGAATCGATTTTTTGTTACGTTTTCGCGACGCATCAAAGACAAGATATCCGTGTCACTTTATGATACCTGAAAGTCATAAGTTATAACCTAGTTACGGGTCATTAAATTTAGTTATTACATATACGCTGCAGTTATCATAATAATTTTGTCGCGCGTGTGTTTACTGTAGGGTGACAGCGGTGGCCCGCTGACAGTGGAACGGGATACCGGAAGAAACGTTTTGATCGGCTTGGTGAGTTATGGCGTAACGGGCTGCGCAATCAAACCCGCTTTTCCCGATCTGTACACCAGAATATCTGAGTACACCAAATGGATTGACGTCAGCACCTCGTAGTAACATCAACAATAATAATGATAATATTAATAATGATGGTTAAAACAATTGTAATAGTATGACCATTGAGCACACAATTTTATATACATTAAAATATTATTTTAATGATAAAACGCCTGTTTGATAGACGATAACATAACAATATTATCATGATGGACGTCGACACAGACTAAAAAAACACTATAGTCGTCATCTTACCAATATATTATTATTTTGTTTATAATATCATTATAATGATTTACAAAAACCTAACATACTAAACACAATACGTGGACTATATACTAGTCGTAATTAGCCGTTCTTTGCCGTATATGCGTTGTATGATTTATTATTTCTGCCCAGACTTGCACATGTGTCATCGCAATCTCGACGACAGAAATAATATGTTTATTAGCATAATTATTGTAATGATTTTTTATTCCGATTTCAAAAACAGACTTCGAAAGTATCGCATTATGCTTACATTTAAATTATTAAAACAACAGACAAGTTTTTAATGACCAATGAGGAATACCTCATCATAAGTTTCAGTGTACCTACAATCTGCGGTGTTAATCAAATAGTAACGATAGAATGCTATTAATTCATCAGCAACCACAAAAAATATAACATTCCATCTGACACGAACAAACCATTAGGCTCCAATATAGTTAACAATGATAAAATCTCAAATATGATCGCTTTCCCTAAGAAAAACTAACCTTTATAATAACCTTTAACCATACTATAAATAAGTAACAATATAGTACCTATTGTATATTTTTAACTTTTAACACATTTTTTCAATCAAAATTTAACCTACCTTATACGTTTAATAATATTCAAAATCTAAAATTTAAATAGCATTTATTATATTATAATTAAAAAACTTTTTCACAGTTGTTTATCTTAAAAATAATAACCTTTTTCGTATATACTATTTTAAGTTAATTTGTACAAAAAAATATAAATAATTCATATCATAATATTCTATGCATACATAAGTATAAAACTGTATTGATAATATTTATTTTAAAGATTGTATTTTTAACAATATTTTACGCATTTATATTATATTCGAAAATTCTACCTACACCTAGATACAGTTTCATGATGAAATTTTGCTGTGCACGTGTACTGTGTGAACATATTAACTGTAAAGTTTGACAGCTTGCAATATTTTTCGGAGTTGTTAATCTATAAACATCATTATTTTGAAGCTTAACAAAACAACATTGTATCGAACATATTATTCCCTGTACATGTATTATTATGGGTATTGTAAGCTTTAAGAGTGAAATCAATACATTTTCATGTTAATTCTTTATTTACTGTTCAATTAATTGTTGAGTTGGTACTCATTTGATTAATTTAATCATTTTAGATTTAAATTGTAAATTTTAAAATGTACTTATAATCTTCTTTAATCGAATCGTTTTTATTTTGTTTGATATTTATATTCAAAAATTCATAAATAAAACAATTGAGGCTACTATTATATAAGTTAATTCTTTGTACTTACGATAAAAATAATACAATAATATTAGTTTTAAATGTTTTAATCATATAATATGTATATCGTAATAACTGATTGTATAATACCTATTAGTCTTAAAATCATTCCTATTATAATGATTAAACATTGTGTATCATTAATCATATGTTCACAAAATTAATATTAACTAATAGTGAAAATGTAGAGACTGTGTTTGGTTTCAAAGTATTTTAAAATTATATTTAGGTTAGAGTCTGTATATATAAAAACGACGTTCAACAATTACAATAATTTTTCTCGGGGTTTACTTCATTACTTATGTTTAAATAGTTAGATTTTTCATAAAAATCTAAAATTATAGTTATTGAATAGTTGCTACAAATGTCTTAAAAATAAAATCATTTATTCAACATTTTTTGATTCAAAATTAAGTGAATTTATTATTTACGGAAAATTATAATCACTAAACCTTTAATAGTGTATGGTATTTTATACTTGGAATTAACTAATTATTGTTTTATATTTTGATTTGAACTAATTTAAATATTTTTTTGTATTTTAAGTATAATTTTGAGAGAAAAAACTGTCGTATATAAAATATTCGTCTTGACCTTTTATACACGAACAATAAACAAACGAGAAGATTAAATAATATATTGCATAATTCAAACACGTTGGAATTATGAATTTAAATAAAGAGGCATCTTGTACATAGTGGTGGGGTTTGTGATGTTATATGTAAATTGTTTTGTTTACAACAGATGAAAATACATTATTAGAGAAAATGTGTTCGACCCCATATGTTATATTAGCAAGTGCGTATTTTCTCTCTAAATACGCATCTCGTTTTATTGTCCATCCACGCACAATGTTCCAATTCTCTATCCGAATCTAACTGCTTCTATTCTCTTTATTTGTTTGTTATAGAAAATTAATTTATTCCAGTGTACAGCATTTTACACTATATGCTTTTAGATAAAACGTATAAGATAATATAACAATATACAAGAACCTATATGTGTTTTTGTTTTTTAAATAGATTCGAGACTTCACACCTATTTCTTCTTTGTTCATTAATCGATTTATCCTGTTCTACACTATTCCATTCGCGAACCTAACCACTTTTAATCTCGGAAATACTTTTGAATTCCGAAATACCTTGTTTCCAATTTTGGTGTTCTTGAATCCCGATAAGTACATTATTGCCGAATATTTTTTTGAAACGATGGAAGCACTTAATTTCTTAAATAACTTTTTACTTAAAGGCGAAGTTAATAGCAAAAGTAAATAAAAAAATACAATTATAATAGTTTTCGTTAAAACAAAAAAAAAATTTACATTATAAGTGCCATGTATAAAAAGTAATTTTTCGTGAATTTTCCTATAGATTTTAAACTTAACGAACACTTTATATTAAAAAAATCTAGCTATAGTATGTAATTTACTGTTGATTTTCTTAGCAACGTCCAATATGAGATTTCAGCAATTTTAACTTAACAAGTACAACATTCATACACAAAAATTATAGTGTCTCCGTATCCGAGGAAGTTCACTGAAATATTTCGTTAAAATATAATGTTCGCCATCTAATATGTTCCAAATAACTTTACAGCTGTGATTTATAACCTATTATACGTTGCTGTGAATGGGAGACAGAGAACTTTGATTTTCATCTTCGTTGTAGTTCATATTATTACACTACCGGTCAAATCATCGTTATTATAGCTTATTTACTTCTTCGAGTTTTTTTTTTTTTTTTCTTAAATCATTATGTATTACATTATTTACAAGCACATGTTGATAATACGAGTATACGTATTTTTGTTATGCAATCTATACATCTATATAGACAATTTTATTTTATTATAAGTTTAATTAGATTTATTTTAACAAGTGATAATTTGCTAGGATATAAATGTATAATGTAAATTCACTCAAGCGAGAGAATTGATGTTTAATAATATATTTTCATATTAATTTGTTTAAAATAATTTTACAATAACTATAATACATTTTAAATTGTAATTTTTATGTCTTAATTTCTGCAATTAAGTAAGTAATAAGCATTTTTAAATGTAAAGCCGTGGATTTAATTAGGTAAAATTAGATAATAATTAAGATATATTTTTTTTTTTAGTAAATAATCAAAAAATTCTTTTAAAAGCTTTTATAAGTATAACATTAGAACTATAAATTGTTCACTATCCTTAAACTTTTCACTGTCTTAGCTGTTGAAAATTTTATAATTGTTTAACGCGACGATTTAATTTAAATATTTTAAGAAAATACATTTTATTTTTGCGATGCCTTTTATAGTAAATTTAAAAAATTACCATTTAATTAAACTCTCTTATGCAATTTTTTTTTTTCATTTATATTATTTAAATTAACATTTAAATAAATAGAAATTTAAACTTTTGTATATTTATATGACTACATTGAGTAAAAACTAAAAAGTATTTATAATTATTTTATATGAGTAATTTTTATTTTTTCTAATTGATTAAATTAACCTTTAAAAAATATTAAAAGATCTATTTAAAATTACCAATTTACAATTTTAGAAACTAAATACTGATTTTTAGTTTCTCATAAAAAATAAATAAATAATATTAGGTTAAACATCAGAATAATAGTTAACAGTCATTTGTGTGATAATATTGATTTATTACTAATTAGTTATCAGATTTATTACGTTGTAGTAAATACCACTTTTAATAAATAGGTAAGTATCTACTCATAATATATAACGTCGATTAAAGATACATATACCTACTTAAATAACATACACGAAAGTTACTAAAAAAAAATATATCAACTACATTTACTTAAGTTTGTTATAGGTATTTACTATTCATAGTATGGGTAGTGGGTACACCATAAAATATAGTATATTATATACTACTGTATTATACTATACCTATGTAGGTATTATATTATTTAATGTATTTATGTAAAACACTATAATATCAAGTCAGAGGCATACAACAGTAAACTTTTTTGGTAACCTTCCATATTTTTTTTAATAAATACTGAGAAGAATGATTTATATTAGGAACCTATATGCAATTTAAAAGGTTGAAATAAAACTTTTCCTAAAATGATGAGTCATTAACCAAAACAGTAACCAACTACCTACCTGCGATTTCAGAGTAGGTAGCTGTTATTATTTGGTTTTAAAGTCATTACCGTATATCAGAAGCATATTTTGTTTAATTAAGAACTTTTATAGTAGTTCCTAAAATAAGTTCTATACATATCTACTTAAAACTAATTATTTTTCAATGTTCAAAATTGTAAATCTATATTACTTAATGTATTAATGTTAAACTTTCATAATGGTATTAAAGTGTTTATAATAATTATATCTCGAGTGGTTTTGTAAGTTATATATTATATATATAACTGAATTGTTAACAAAAATCGATATAAACTACAAGAGCTCACAAAACAATATACATACATGCATTATAATAATGTTATAATGCTTAAGTCAAATATAACTCGATACAGATACGTATAATACATACCTACTAATAAAATAAACTACAATAATAATAATAATATCTTAACATAATTGATTACGAAAAA